TGTCCACCAGAGTAATTTATCCTAATAGCAACTATTCATTTGCACTTTCATTATGCTTCCTTGCTGGCTGAGTGTTTCCCGAGGACAGGTTACTAAACGTCCATCAGCTAGTATGACACACTTCAGCAAATGGAAAGATAGATGCTTAAGGAAGTTTATATCCAAAGGATTAACACTAAAGAGCACCCGGAGATGGTATAATTGCTGAATTACGTAAACCACATTAGAAGAGCAGGAAATGTAGCCTCTGTTACAGTACATCCCATCATCTAAACCGTAAGGAACTTATAGACTGATAATGAGTAGATGCTAGACACAAGGATACTTATGTACTGTATACATAAATAGCTTGCTTTCCTGTCTGCACATTGGTAGTTTCAAAGAAGTTAGTTGCAGAAATACATGACATTTAGGCTACTTAAAGGAAACTCTCTAGCAAGGCCTTTTCACAATGTTTCCTATAAAATTAAATAATTATCAGAGCATGGGAACCTTCATGACCCCTGCTCTTCATTACTAAAATTGACCTCTGTGAGATTCATTCATTCTGCAGTGAAAACCCATAAACGTAAGATTTTGGTCTCCTGATCCATCATCTTTTTTAAAGATGAATTTTAAAGAACATTTTTTTTTAATTTACAATAAAGTTTAATTTAACAAAAATGGCATTTTTTTTTCTGTAGTTGTATTATGCTGAAAAGCTTAGGGGTCCAATGGTTTACTTTACCAATCCACATGCTCTAAGGGTAGTAACTTTTTCCAGACCTTTATATTATTGTGCGTCTTGTAAGTTGCTATGAGAAAACTCTACCTAGCTGCCCGCACCCAAACACACTCTCATATAAATATGTACCATTGTTCAGTTTTCAAAATATGGCGCAGCGCTAACATATAATTTGAAATAGTGAATATATGAAACAGTGAGTATATAAAAGTCCTTGAATTCCCTTGTTTTTCAATAAATGTCCCTTTTAACTTTTTAATATTTGTGCAGATTCTTTATTTCTTGTTTAATTAAAATATTTTTCCAGACCCTTACTGTAATAGCTGTTCAACCCTCACTAAACTATCTCTAATGCCTAGAAATGAATGGTCTAAGCCAGTGAATAGATCTGTAAACAATGGAATGAAGCACAAAGTATGGATCGCAGAAATATTGTACCAATGGGTAGACATTAACTTGAAATCCTTTTCAGGAAAATATAAAATGCTGTGTGAACATGGGTATTTAAATAACTTGAAGAGCAAACGATCCACTCCAGGCGAGTGCAAAATCTTTATAACCTCTCCACAGACACACAAGTGATCCGTGATCACAGATTCAATGGAAAAAAAAACAGAATGGTTGGCCGCACAAACAGCAATATGATGGATGAAATACTTTATTGGAATCCTTTACATGCAATATGATAAGAACATGACAGCTCCAAGACAGGACAGAGAAGCAGTAGATGCATTTCACACGAACACGTAATGACTAAGCCAGGGGCAGACTGATGACTCATGGGGCCCCCGGGCAATAGGAAATCATGGGGCCCCTGTGTCCTTGCCCACACTCAAACCACACCCATATAAGCCTATGAAAGGTACTAGGGGCATCTCATGGGGCCCCCTACTGACCCCGGGCCCTCGGGCAGTGCCCGAGTGCTCGAATGGCCAGTCCGCCCCTGGACTAAGCATGTGTTTTGTGTGAAACGCATCTACTGCTCCTCTGTCCTGTCTTGGAGCTGTCATGTTCTTATCATATTGCATGTAAAGGATTCCAATAAAGGATTTCATCCACCACATTGCTGTTTGTGCAGCCAACCATTCTGTTTTTCTATTTAAATAACTTGAACGTCTCCAAATATATATTTTGTTTCATTTCCAGCAGATTTGCATTTATCATTGCAACATCCATGTTCTTTTTCAGATGAAAATGCTCGATCTGCAGAAAGGAAAGACTCTGGTAAGTCAATTTCAAATTAAAGAACAATAAGAGTCAATATTTAAAAAAACCCAGTATTTAGGGAAATGCAGAATCCATTACTCACCTTCTGAAAATACTTATCCAGGCCAGGCTGTGTACAGGTTTGTACACTATGGGAGTGTCCTCAAAGAGAGTTATAAATCAAGAGATTAACAGTAAAGTCAGACTGCACGTGCTTGTTCTGAGCCAATAACTAGAAAGTACTGAGTAAAGTACTGTAGATCATGATGACAGCCAAGGAACTAGTATATTCAGAAGGAGGGGTCAGCAATGACAGCTTTTAAATTGCCTCTTCAAAAAACCCCACCAGTGCAGGTGTACATAAATTAAGCTGTAAAATACAACAGGTAGGTAGTGAACACTAACTATCAAGTGCATTATCTTCCCTAGATATACTGTATACCAGCAATACAAACTGCCCCAGCAAGTTAGGAGATCTTGTGACTCATTAAGCATGTGCACATTTGGTAAAGTATAACTGCACACTTATATCAGAGCCTGACCCCTCTCCTGCCCCCAGTTTTAAACCCATCTGTCCCCAGTCACTGATTAAATCACACAGCCATTTGTCAAACTTATTTCCAGGAAAACGTTCTTGTGTTGGGTCAAACTCTATAAGGAGAATTCATATAGACTGTTTAGGACACTCTTTAGAATTCCATCCTGCCTCCGCAGAACAAATATCAGTGCAGGCAAGAAATTCATGTACCTGTTGTAAGACATTCTGCTATTGGGTGCACATTTCACACACTGCCTCTTGTAAATTACAAAGAGAGACGTAGCTGTTGGGTAACTAATATCACTCCTCTTCAGGTTCCACCCACTGTCAGTATCACTGGTTGCTGTCAGCTATGAAGCGAACAGCATCTATAAAGCGGAACTAAAGGGTGAATACTTATCTGTCCAATGGTCCATGTTTTTCTGAGTGCTGTCTTTGGGCCTTTTAATTGGGCAGTTGAGGATGACATCCTGCACATGTGCAGGAGCTAGTGATCTTGGCTCTCAGAAACCGGCCCGGCACTGTAAGCTGTGCAGCTCAGTTTACAGAGCAGACAGTGAACAGGCAGGAAGGGGAATTTTACTGCAGTAGAGACATTGCATGTCTCTTCTGCAATAAAAGCCTGCCTGCTTGCTGTTTCTTACAGAGAGCTTCAGTTCCACTTTAAGAAACAATGACAGGTGGAGAGGGGGTAGCAAAGGCAGATTACCTGCTACACAGCATATGGAGACAGGCACTTTGCCTGTTTCTGTATGCCAACTTAGAGTTAGTTTTAATTTCCTCCAGTTTTGCTATCTAGGAACTAGAGTTAATTATTTTTGAATCTGGTGCAATAATAAGGCCACTATGTAAAAGTGGCAATATTAAGAATCTGCTGAATGTTTTGGTAAAGCAACCAAAACTGGAAGGGATTATTTTAATAGGCATAGGCCATTTTAAGGGCCATGTTGCCAGAAAAGTGTCATTAGGTTTTTATGAATTCCCCCATATAAGTCTTCCTTTTGGTAAATATACAGCTATCTCTTGAAAGATGTATCAACTTTTTTTGGCTTTGGAGCAAGGAAGGGTTAGAACCTCTGGTACTTTTATATTGCTGCCTGTAGCCCCATTGAAGAGAATTCACCCCAATTTCCTGCCCCTGTCTCGGCTCTCCCATTCATCTCTATTAAACCTATAGCCGCCAAAAAAAGCGAATGTAAAAACTCCCTGCACACCAAAGGGCCAGACTGTGGAGTGGTCCTGCATTTACATTTGGGGTCTGTGTGAGGACTTTAAAGATAGGAGTTGGGAAGGGGAACCCACACATGGTTTTTATAACAAAAATGAACTTTTTTTGTACAGTTCCTAATAACCACTGTAATTAAAAGGTGTTTTAAGTTGTGTTCATTTAATTAAATAGGTAAACCGCATCAGGAAGACCTAAGAAGGAATTGAGGGTTATTCAAAACTTGATAAATATAAATATAACACCTGCATTTTTTTGCAGATATTTTTCCTTTCAGGTTTAGGAGTAGAAAGACCAGACCTGGAGGCTGATCACATCTTGCTTAACATTCTCTGTTTACTTATTAATACTACTTTGTTTTCTTATAGAGAAATAATTATAACTGATCAACACGCACAGGAAATATAGCCACGGAGACCATCTTTGCTTTACCTGCAAAAGTGAATGGTGTTTAAAATTTAGCATGGCCAAATAAATTGGTAACAAATAACAACTGTATTCATTTTGTATAGTTTGGTCTCTTGGAGAAGGACCACCAGATGATGCGGACAAGAGGGATAATTCACAACGATCAACTTTATTTATTGAGAAACCCAGTAGTGGAACAGTAGGTGTGGGTGAGTATTACTGGGGATTTCACATACCATATATTGTTTTTATGCTGTATGAACTACAAATTTAGTGTATTTCTATGGGTTGAGTGAGTTTATCCAATGCACTAGAGTCGTGAAGAGAAACACATTACATTGCTTTTATAAAATTCCTTTTCTATGCATCTTTAATTATCAGAGGTCATGTTAAAGCAGTATTAAACCCCAAAACAAACATTTGTTATAGTGCAGCTTACCAATTCTTAGATGTGATGGCTGCATTTGTTCTCTTTTTCAGACTTTCTTCTTTTATTTTCACATGGTGATCTTGCTAGTGAATCTGTCTTTATTCAACAGAATGTAGCAGTTAGAGGGTCAAGACAAACCATTTACCACTGGCTTACAATGATCAGCTTTTATTTATTTATGTACGTTGTAAAACATTTATCCCATATGGAATAAAACATTTGCTGTAACAGCTTAAAAGGTGGAGTTTGGCTTTAATTTGTTAATGTATCTAAATCTGCTAGTATAGCTAACACTCCCCTCCACCCAGACTGACAATGCTGCCCAAAGGTGTCTATGTTGCTCTTTCATACAGAGTGTAGGCACTCTACAGGAAGTGTTACTGGCCAGATTACCAGGTTAAAACAGAGGGAAACAAAGGGAAAAAAAACTAAAAAAAACTAATGCAGTCACTACATCTAAAGACTGGTATTTATTTATTTATTACAGGTACTTATATAGTGCCTTCAATTCATGCAGCGCTTTACATATATATAGCGCTTTACATATATATTGTGCATTCACATCAGTCCCTAACCCTCAAGGGGCGTACAATCTTAGGACCCTAACTCACATTCATACATAAACATACTAGGGCCAATTTAGACAGGATCCAATTAACCTACCAGCATGTCTTTGGAGTGTGGGAGGAAACCAGAGTACCCGGAGCAAACCCACGCAGGCCCAGGGAGAACATGCAAACTCCAGGCAGGATTCGAACCATCAACCCTAGTACTGCCAGTAAGCTGCAATATAATACGTTTCTTGTTTTGGGTTCTTTACTGTTTTAACTTTAAAGGCCATAAAAGGGAACCAGTGCATCAAATTACCCAGTGATTCCCTAAGCCTCTACCAAAACCCAGTAACATTTTTGTCTCCATTGTATTCCACAAGACCATAATGAAATTCTGGTGGCAGATTTCTGAGAGATAATATAAGCCAGCATATGATGGCATTTGTCATCAATCATGCGCAACTGAAGTATCAGTTTTGAGTATTGTTGACCTTTGTCAAAGGTTAACATAGCTAATGTTGTATGTGTCATTTATCAGCTGAAGGAGTATTCGATTACAAGTTTATGTCTGTGTAACTGCACATATTCTTACATGGCTTGGACCAGGGAACACCTACAGTACGGCCAGCTTTGATTTTTTTTTTTCCTTTTGCTTTGTTAAAAGACTTGGTTGACTAAATTACTGTGATAGTATGTCTATGGTTGTTGCATTTTTATGTGTGCTTTCAGAGCCAAAATTCAATTAATACGCTACATTCCCACCCTCACAATATCAGATTTTTGTGCCATTCAACCTTATGTACGAAAGTACATCACTGCATCTGCACTATGGCAGCCAGTGGCTGAATTTGGCCGCTTGTGGCTGGCAACACAAGCAACAGAGCAGGCTATGAAGATGAAGCTTCAACAGTCACCCACAGGAAGTAAGCATGAGCCTCTTATTCCTGAATCCTGACAGAGTGTCTGAATCTGGTACATCTTTAGCAAAAGTTCAATCAGCTAGTCTAAAGATGTAATTGCAACAAGGTAATGAAACAAGGGAATCCCTACTGAGTCTAACACTTGAAATATAATTAATCTAATCCTATGAAATGTACATTTCTAAATAAAAGTACATGCATTGGCTATACAGCATAGCTTTAAAGATAATAACTGTGACTAGGCCCAAAGAGAAGAGGGTTCCCTCTTTCTACACACCATGGCCGGAACCCGAACGTCATTCCCAAGCTTCTACTTACCTCCTCCGGCTGTCTCTGACCATAGAGATGTTGTCTGCAGCTTGAGAGTCTAAAGTTTTTTGTCTACAAAGTTTTTGTTGGCACTCATGTTGTATGTGAAAGATGATGACTATCCATTTTTTAAGAACAACATACTAATCATAATTGACTGTAGAACAGAAAAACACATTGGGAATAGAATACTATATGTTTTACACGCATACCTATTATAAACATGCATAGTCTACCACTCAAGGGCCTGTAGTAAAATATAAGCTCAATAAAAATAGCCACCCACATCTCTTTCACTTAATATCTGATCATAAATTTTTTACCATTGGTGGTAACAGGTAGCAAGATACAACAGGAATGTATAACAGCAAACAAAAGTTGTAATTGCTTTGGTAATACAGTTTTTTTGTCTATCTGCCCTAGTTATCGGACCACCATTGCCTTACACTGAATACATAGTACATTGTCACTATAGCTATAGCTGTGACATTACTGAGAAAAACTGCTGGGGTGGGTATAATACATTTGAAGAGACTGGGAGGAGGGTATTAAAAAGTTTCTTGAATTTCCTCAGCTTTTGCCTCTGCGGAAATAAATATAAATTACTGCTGTGTGTCTGAATCCTTGGGAGTACATTGCTCCCATACTAGTTTTGTAGTTTTTAATTTTTTTTTTTCCAATCTTTTAAGGTGGTGATATTAAGTTTACGGCAAAAGTGGAGGCAAAAGATCTCCTCCGTAAACCTATTGTGAAGTGGCTGAAAGGAAAATGGATGGACTTGGCAAGTAAAGCTGGAAAGCATCTTCAACTTAAGGACACATTTGACCGTGTTAATAAGGTATGTTGCGCAAATCTGCTTTTTGGAAGCTTGATGTTGGTCACCTGATCCAATTTAAGCAATCCCTACAATATTTTGCTGGACATGTCAGTAGTTTTCTAATATAGGTGTCCGTTTATGAACCAGCGGTAAATGATCGCTGCTCAGTTCTCCGGCATTCTCGGAGAACACAGTTCTCCTGTGAATGCCTTTTATGAAGCAGTGTAGATCAGTTCTCCAAACGAAGGGAGAACGATCTACAAACGCTAGAGAACAGTCTACAAATGCTGGAAAATGGCTGCTTTTACTATAATCTCACGAGATTACGGTAAGAGATCAGTTTACTAAGCAGAAGTAAATTATCGCTGCTTAGTTTGTGGTTCCTCCGATTCTCCAGCTCTGGGCTGGAGAATCTGGAGAGAGAACACAGATCGCCATTGAAGGGCTGACATCGCTCCTCGCTGATCACCTGAGTGTCATAAACTGTGAATGACCAGAGAGTAGCTGTGATCCTCTGAATCGCAGCTATTCTCTGTGTCATAAACGGACACCATACTTCTGATGCAGTGTCCACACAGAAAATTTTTCTGCCAAATGCTTGCAAAAAAAAAATGTTCTAAAATCACTAAAAATAATTGAAATGGAGGCTTGATGTTGGTTCACAACATGAAACATTTTGATGAAAAACCTAGACCCATTTGCAGCAATCTCTGAAGTTTATACAGTTTATAACAAAAGACAGGTAGAACTGCCACTTTCACTTCTTTCTAAATGATTCCTTTTGCTAGCAGTTGAATACCTGCAGGGATTTTTTTTTTCAGTAAACCTGGATTTAGCCAGAATTTATGTAGAGGCAATGTAGTCCACAGCCAAAGACAGCAAATTTTAGCAGGCCAGAAGACTGCCTTTTTTATTGTGTTTTTCATATGTCCAACATATCTATTCATGGGAGGAAAAAACATTGAAAAATAAGAATTTTCTCAAACACAGAATGCACATATTTATGTTATATATGGTGTGCACAAATATCTGTGCCATAGAAGTAGTACAATAAGAGTAGCCCAGGTCTGTCCTACATTGACTCCTGTCACCCCTCATCTGGCCTTTCATGAATACAAAAAACAGAAGATTTAACATTATTTTAAGTACTGGACAGTTAATCTAAAAGCAAATACCTTCTGTTGTGTTCTCTATTTTTTAAAACCTGTAATGTTCTCTGACATCAGTCCAGTGGGTGCACCATGTAGCAAATATTTATTTGTAGAATGATGGATTATAATTACTGTTTATATTTTTTCTATACAATTGTTCTAAAACTACAATTTGCGCTAAAGCATTTTTATTGTTATTTTGTTATAATAATAATGGTTTAGTTAACATTGTCACTGAACACAAGCCAGTATACTCACAAAATACATTATAAAATGTATAATAACAATAAGACAGCTCAATGCTTTTAGAGAAAATATCATTCACAAAAACTGAACTACTGTTAAAAAATTAGCAGTAAATTGGTTGTATTAAATAATTAAAATTTATTTTCTTTTCCAGACATACACATATGAAATGCAAATCCTAAAGGCAAAGGAGAACTACGCTGGGAACTACAGATGTGAAGTAACATATAAAGATAAATTTGACAGCTGCTCATTTGATCTTGAAGTTATTGGTGAGCCCTCACTGTTGAAATAGTGCATATTTTATATTATTTTAGTCAACATATAACAAAGCAACCATTTTCAAGGCAACCATTTTCATGCAGGAGCACCATGGCAGCTATATACAGACATTTTATTACACTATACTGAATTATATTATATACTCTGTGATGTATATATATATATATATATATACACATATATATATATATATATATATCACAGTGGCTTAGTGGTTAGCATGTCTGCCTTGCAGTAAATGGGTCATGGGTTCGATATCCCGACCATGGTGCCTCCTGCATGGAGTTTGCATGTTCTCCCAGTGCTTGCGTGGGTTTCCTCCGGGTACTCTGGTTTCCTCCCACACTCCAGAGACATATATCACAGTAGGTTAATTGGCTCCTGTCTAAATTGTCCTAGTTGCATCCCGACCTGGCCTCCTGTGGGATGTTCTCCTGCATGGTAGGGGTTGGGGAAAGACCTAGGGCAACCTACCCTGTAAAATAATTGCTCCCTGGAATTCATGGAAAAAGTCACTTACGAGTGACGGTCCATGCAATCGCCAAGGGTTGGATACGACTAAATGGATATATATATAAAATTAACTTCCCTAGCATTACTTGTAATTAATGTCATAATTCAAGGGCACATTTACAGTGAAAAATAGTTGTAGTTAAAATGTTAAACACCATCAATCTGACATTAACATCTAATTGATCATGTAAAAGAAAGATCATGTAAAAGATTAGGACCATAGTTCACATATGGTTAAAGTGTTTGTAAACCTCAGACATGACATATGAATAAAGCAAATCCCTCTCTAGGGTGTACTTGTCTCTATCCAGACCACTAAGTGTCATTTCTGTCTGCTGCCTCTTTCCTCTGCTATAAACATGAGTCACTTCTGATGAGCTTTCCTAACACCAAGAAAAAATAGTGATAGGGGAGGGTACAGCCTGTGATTGACAGCCTCAGCTCTGTTGCTGTGTGAAGGGAGGTATGTTCCTACCCTCTAATCAGCTTTCAGAGACCTCCTCACTGAGTATAACTTCAGCTACCTGCCCCCTGCTTTAGAGAGCTGATAAATTCTGTGTAATTTCTGGACTTTGAATGGATATACTGAATGGGACAGACAGCTGTAGATAAATTGGTACAATTTATGTAGGATGATTTTTTTAAATCTCTGTGTATCACCTGAGGCCAGTAAATTCACTAGGTATATGTAAGGGTTTACAACCACTTTAAGGATGATTTTATAAATTATTTTTCATATATCCTAAAGCATATGCAGTGCTACAAATTACATTTTTCCTCATTATTTTTTTCCTGTATGCTGTGTAGCTGCACCAGATGCTTCCCAAACTCTGGACATTAGATCTGCATTCAAGAGAAGGTAAATTATTGAAATCGTTGTGAAGTGCATTAACTCTTGGAATTTACAAAGATCCAAAATGTGATAGGCTACTATAAATTATTCATTTACAGCCTCAGTAAAAAAAAACCTCTAGTGATATAAATATAATCAACCTTATGCTCTGAAAAGGATCATTGCATAACGCAGCTTCAATAGTTAATTAAAGGGTCAGTTTATCCATGCTGATATTACAGTTTTTGGTAGATACTGGAAACATAAACAACCTGACAGTTTCTTATTTTTCTTCAGACACTGGTGGTTAAATCTATTAACTTGGGTTTACAAGTATTCACACCTGCTGTGGCAATTCTGTGGTTTCCCAGCCTGAGTTGTGAGGACTCTTAAAATTCTGGGAATAGATCCAAAAAAAAATTGCGATCTCACCACTGTGGTCTGCAGAGATTTAAATAGCCAGTTATTGACAGCCTTTTGGACTCCAATTATAACTGAGTTTTCCCTTTTAGGTGGACTTGATGGTAATGGCTTGTACATTTCTGCCAGTGGGCAGGACTCCTCACTGTTGCCTTTTCCAGATAAGGAATTTCCCTGATCAATAACAATATCCACTAGCTTTAAATTGGAGCTCCAGTTATGAAAGTTTAGAACTGCTGTCAGGTCCACGTTTGGGAAGATTTCCCTCACTTTCTCTCCTAGACACAGTGGAAAATGAAGGCCAGTCTTCCCAGAAGGTTCACAGAAAACCTTAAAAAAAACTGTTTGGAAGAATGGAAAATGTAGAGATCCTTCAATGGTTAAACAGCTGAAAAAATGAAGGTCATTACTGAATTTGGGTCCCTTATGTCTGCCTGTCTGAAATATCAACAGAAATCACCTGTTGGCACTTCAGCGTTGTGGTGGTTTGACACACTGGAGTTGATTTACTATAGGCAGTTGGGTGTTCAGTTTGCAAGGGAACTTTCCCTAGAGTTTAGTGAATGTAGTAAGGTTTCACCAGATTCAGCCCCACCATCTCCTACTAAAGTGACCAAAGTCATTAAAGCCAGCAAAGTGTTGTATTAGTAACAAATTAAATCTCAGTACCAGTCAATCCTTTTTCATTTTCCAATGATTGGGTAAGGATTAAAACCTCTGCTAGAGTGTATTGTCTGTATTTTCCCCACCACTGGAACAGTTTCGCCAATGAAAACACAAATGGAACATTAAAGGGTTTGCGGTTGCCCAACAGTCATGCAAAGTCAGCGCATTTGCAAATGATTTGCTCCTGACCCTGACTCAACCTCACATCACGCTACCTGTTCTTTTATCTATCCTCACACGCTCCTCCGATATTTCTGGTCTGGTAGTAAATGAAGACAAAAGCTCGGCCCTTAATATCTCTCTCCCTGAGGAGAAGATCACCTTATTAAAACAAAATTACATTTTAGCCTGCCCATTGCCCACCTAGACTATCTTGGAATCCATCTCACTAAATCCTACCACACCCTCTATGAGGCCAATTACATCCCAACCTTCCGCTCCCGTAAAACATTACTCACGTCCTGGTCTCACCAACCTCTCTCATGGATAGGCAGAATCAATGCAGTAAAAATTACCATTCTTCCCCAGCTCCTATACCTATTCCGAACTCTCCCTGTCCACTCCTATACCCTTAAGTAATTTCAGAATTATGTCCTAAGATTTGTCTGGTCTAACAAGAGACCTTGAGTTACCAAACACACCATGCTCATACACAGGAAACAAGGGGTCTTAGGGGTCCCCAACTTTTCTAAGTACTATGTGGCAGCTCAAATCACATCTATGATCTCCCTACATATGCTGCACAGCAAGCCCCCACATGGGTCACTTTGGAAGCGCTCTCTTGCTTTCTGGCAAAATCTAGGCCACAACCAGTCCCCTAATGGACCACTCATTGCGGGATATGGGATTCCACCAAATATGCCAGTGGTCTAATCTCTCCTCATCTGCCACTTCTCCCCCTTCTGGGCAACCCTCTGTTTTTTCCAGGCCTTGAGTCCCCTAGCGCCTTTTATTGGTGGATTTCCCACAAATTTTCATGCGTCCACTCGTTCCTCACTGGTTGGTTTATCTACAGCTGGGCGGAAATATGGGACAAATACCAAGCCCCTCACACTGAACTCTTTCGATTCCTACAAATCAAACATTGGTTGACTTTAGTGTTTTCCAATAAAGATCCGACGACCCAACTGTCCTTGCTCGAACATATTTGTCATAGGATGCCTTTTTCCCCCAAACTTATATCTACTCTTTATTCACAATTAAACAACCTCCAAAATCCTAACAATCACACTTATGTTTCCAAGTGGGAAAGGGACCTTCACAGCACCATAGGGATTGCTGGTCACAAATATGGACAACCTTGACTTCCTGCTCTATCAATATTCTCACTATCAAATCTGCCTTTAAAACTGTCACAAGGTGGTACCTGGTCCTGCCCCATCTGGTGCACCTTCACCCACCTGCTCCCGGCACCTGTTTATGAGGATGCTCTACCCCAAGAGACATCTTCTATACATATGGTGGACATGCCCTATGCTCTCTTGGTTCTGGACAAAGGTTCTTAATCTTCTATATTCATTACTAGCCTGCCCCTTCCCAAAGGACCCGTGGCATGTCCTTCTACATCTGAAACCCCTGTGTCTCACCAAATACCAATTTAAGCTGGCTACCTACAGTTGCAAGAAAAAGTATGTGAACCCCTTGGGATTACATGGAGTTTTGCATGAATTGGGCATAAAATGTGCTCTGAACGTCATCTAGGTCACAACAATAGAAGAACACAGTCTGCTGAACATAATACTACACAAACATTAGATGTTGCCATGGTTTAATTGCACATAACATGTAAACATTCACAGTGCAGGGAGGAAAAAGTATGTGAACCTTTGGACTTAATAACTGGTTGACCCTCCTTTGGCAGCAATAACCTCAACCAAACGTTTCCTGTAGTTGCAGATCAGACCTGCACAACGATCTGGAGTAATTTTGGACCATTCCTCTTCACAAAACTGTTTCAGTGTAGCAATATTCTTGGGATGTCTGGTGTGAATCGCTCTCTTAAGGTCATGCCACAGCATTTCAATCGGGTTGAGGTCAGGACTCTGACTGGGCCACTCCAGAAGGCGTATTCTGTGCTGTTGCAGCCATTGTTTTGTTGAATTACTTGTATGCTTTGGGTCATTGTCCTGTTGCATCACCCATCCTCTGCGGAGCTTCAGTTGGCGGACAGATGGTCGTACGTTTTCCTGCAAAATGTCTTGATAAACTCTGGAATTCATTTTCCCATCAATGACAACAATCCGTCCAGGCCCTGAGGCAGCAAAGCAGCCCCAAACCATGATGCTCCCTCCGCCATGTTTTACAGTGGGGGTGAGGTTTTGATGTTGGTGTGCTGTGCCTTTTTTTCTCCACACATAGTGTTGTGTGTTCTTCCCAAACAACTCAATCTTGGTTTCATCTGTCCACAGTATATTTTGCCAGTAGTGCTGTGGAACATCCTGGTGCTCTTTTGCAAACTTCAAACGTGCTGCAATATTCTTTTTGGACAGCAATGGCTTCCTCCGTGGTGTCCTCCCATGTACTTGATTCTTGTTTAATGTTTTCCTTATTGTAGAATTGTCAACAAAAATGTTAGCATGTGCCAGAGATTTCTGTAGGTCTTTAGTTGACACTCTGGGATTCTTCTTTACCTCATGCAGCATTCTGCGCTGTGCTCTTGCAGTCATTTTTACAGGACGACCACACCTAGGGAGAGTAGCAACAGTGCTAAACTTTCTCCATTTGTAGACAGTCTGTCTTACCATGGACACATGAACATCAAGGCTTTTGGAGATACTTTTGAAACCCTTTCCAGCTTCATGCAAGTCAACAATTCTTGATCGTAGGTCTTCTGAGAGCTCTTTTCTGCAAGGCATGGTTCACATCAGACAGTGCTTCTTGAAACCAGTAAACCCAAAACAGGTGTGTGTTTTTTAAGGGCAGGACAGCTGTCAGCAACACATCCAATATCATCACACTGATTGGAGTCAAGGTTGGCTCACTCCTGGCTCCAATAAGCTCTGGGAGAAGTCATTAAGCTAGGGCCTCACATACTTTTTCCTCCCTGCACTGTGAATGTTTACATGTTATTTGCAATTAAATCATGGCAACATCTAATGTTTGTGTAGTATTATGTTCAGCAGACTGTGTTCTTCTATTGTTGTGACTTAGATGACGTTCAGAGCACATTTTATGCATAATTCATGCAAAACTCCACGTAATCCCAAGGGGTTCACATACTTTTTCTTGCAACTGTATGTACTTCGGAAGGAAAAACAAACCATAGTGAAAGGTTGGAAACAGCAGTTTATACCTTCTGCAGAAGTTCACCGCCGCCTAGATTTTTTTTCTTATTAACGAAAAGCTTTCCAGCATTCTTTTGGATATTCACGAGAAATTTCTTAAATTATGGACTCCTTGGATCCAACATGCCCACCCTTCTATTTCAATAGATAGTTTTACGTTGCTATAATTGCAGAGACTCCACAACGCGGGTATGGGTGCTCTTGACATCCTTTCTTTGAGTCCTTCTTGCTCTCTTTTACTTCTCTCTCCTCCCTTCCCCCCTCCCCCCTCCTGTTTTTTGGCTCTCCCACAGGGACAAATTGCGGTTTGTTCTTATGTATTTCTTGATTTGAATCAGTGAATTTCATATACTGACACCTCTCTCACCAACGCCTGATTCCAGGCTATAGGTGTATGTATGTTCTTTGGTTTTTCGCACTGATCCATTGTTACAACATGATCAATGTACTTTTTGACATACCATCTACTGTGTTACTTATTATGAATTTGTTATTTTATGCATGACTGCTGTTGACTTTTCTGTTCTTGATGTTATACTTCTACCTGCACACACAACAGCGGTTGCAATTCCTCAATTCCTGTATAGTTTTTGTGTCACCAGGAAAGGAAAAGTTACATTTTTCCAAAGGAGGCATAGACAGCACACCTTTGTGCCACCCTAGATCACATGATCTTAACTGGTAAAATCCTAACTCTTTCAGTGAGTAAGAATATTTGCATGATGTAGTGTATTCTTTTTTGCTAATACAGGGAGTTTCAAAGGCTGAGTGTTATTTGGACTTAATTGAAAGAATACATGTACACAAATGAACAGAGGCCTAAAGCTGGTTTGTGTTTTGTGTTGTATATTCATTATTTAATTATTTCTTTTCACTATGGTATTTAAAACACAAACCAAGATAATGTTTTCCAACATACAGGTTATATGTTAAAACATTGTCTTGTAAGATCATATCTAGACTCAACACAAGCTTATTTAATAACTTTCCAAAAGCAGTGCTTTGCAACAGTGAGGAACCAATCAAATATTGCATTTTCCCAGCCTTCATTGGCTTGGAAAGTAATAGCTAATGGTTGCTACTGTTTGCAGTGCATGTTCTACTGCTTATATTCTGTTAAATAAGCTGTATTGTGCTTGATTTTTTTGTCTATCTAGAGAAAACAGTGATGTGCCATATTTGTGTGTCATTAGAGGCAATTTTCTTAAACACAGATTTAAATGTCTTTTTGTGATAAACAGAGAATTGATATTTTTATATTAATGACAGTGGTGAAGGACAAGAAGATGCAGGAGAACTTGACTTTAGTGGTCTCCTGAAACGTAGGTGAGAAATGCAGTGTTGTCATGCCGTGTCAAGTGGCATCTAAATCCAGCTGTCTAAATCCAGGTTGTCAGTTCAATTTAAAGTCCCTTTACTGACTTCCCTTATAAAGCTCATAACTTTGGTATTGTTATATCCTTTACCATGTGTCCAGATACTGATGAACCCTTCTAACTATCAAATGCTTGATTAGTGCATATGCCTGCATAGCTTTATCTGCTATATTTTGTGTTTAAACTGTAATTTACTAATTTTGCATGATATATATATATATATGTGTGTATGTGTGTGTCTATGCATGCGTGTTTATACACACAAGTGTATTTACTATTGCATACAGTGGGATACTCCTTAGTAGAGTATGAGAGATGCTTTAAATGACCTTGTTCACCTTGGAAAGCATCATATACTCTAAGGGACTAGTGAAATCTTTCCCATGTAGAGCAATGTGATGAGGAGCCTTCTGAACATATCTAGTGTAGGCAATTGAAGCCAAATGAACTGTGGTACTGTTGCTTTAACATATACAAATACATTCTTGTCTGTTAAAGTTTTGTTCAAGACCTACAAAAGAGTTCTACAAATTTTGTCCATTTCTTGTGTATGGCAAGCCTTATTCTGTGAGGCTGATTTACTAAAGAAGATGACTATCTTCACTGAATAAATTGAGTGAACATTGAGTTATCGAATCATGTGAAAAGCGGGTATTTATATTTCACATGATTAGATAATTGGAAGTATACCTTAACCTTCAATTCAATGGGTGAAGACACTTAACATGTTTAGTAACGCCTCATTCCATCAGACATGTTAAATTTAAAAAAATATAATTTCTTTCTAGGATTGGAAAAATGCTGTAGAGCTATAGAGACTTGTAAAATCTATTTACAATTTATTTGAAAGTCTTTGTCTCAAAATCTTTGGACATCATTAAATCTTGCTCTGTAAGTCTATTAATTTGAAATGTCTTCAGAACAAATGAAAGTGTCCAAACCATCTTAAATAGGACCAATTGTAAAAAACTGAAAGAAAGTCAAGGTATTGCCCATAACACATTAGACTCACGATGTATATAAAATGGATAGATAGATAGATAGATAGATAGATAGATAGATAGATAGATATGTATACATATATTAGAAATAGTATTCTGAAGTCCCATTTATATCTGTCCATGCCCCAATGTGCCAGGTCTTACATACACACATTACACATTAAGGTCCATTTTGATAGAAGCCAAACTATCGGTACAGCCCTGCAAGTAGAAATGGATGACTGCACTCAAGGCTGTGAAAACTCCAAAATCCCTTATTGGTAATCCATTAAAAGCCAGACATTACTGTGCAACAGGTTTGGAACAACGCTCATGCGTTTCACGCAGACATGCGCTTAATCATAACAGAGCACACATGTGAGTTCTCTGGTATAAATACACAGACCGCTAAACCTGCATAACCCAATTAGCAGATCTCATTACCCAAGACACAAAAAAAATCAATATAATGAAAATTATATATATCATATAATGAATGATACAATATAAAAATACATGGCATGCTATTAATATAATAATAATCGCCAGAAAAATCTGAACCCTAAATACACACAATACTCTCATTTGTGCTATAATGATCAATAAAATAACCATCTTATTAATCTTGGGATCAACTGCAAGAGGAAAAACTAAGAAAGAGACATAGGGGAAAATAAATTAAAAGAAAAAAAAGGAAAAACAAAGAAGGAAAGTGAAAAAAGAAAGAAAGCAAAGGGAGGAAAAATGTAGAAAATAAAAGACCAGTTACGCGCAAACAATTGAAAACCATAAACAGAAAATGTCAAAAGTTCAAAAGCAAGAGAAAAAACACAATTAAAAAGGAAACCAAGAACAAGTGAGAGATAGCCTGTGCAGGAGAGAGGAAAGGAACCACTCAAAAGTGAGTGACATCCCATTCAAAATTGAGACCACCTGGCAAGCTAGTTTGAAACTGGAAGATCCAGAACATCTCTCTCCTGCACAAAAGCCGGAACAAATCTCCACCTCTCTTGAAAGTCCTCACCTCTATGACTTTTTTGTGGACTGCTGAATTGTCACCAGCATGATAACTGTTGAAATGTAAGGCTACATTAGTTGAACGATTTTTACTGATGTCATACACATGACTGTGTAAACGATCTCTGAGCCTTCTAGTAGTGCGTTTCACATACTGTACCGAGCACACACCACACATAATCACATACTTAGCATTGCAGTTTAAAAACATATTGATCTTAAAAGGTTTACCATTAACTGTAGAACACACGGTGTCTCCTGTCAGGACATGCCTCAACAGCACGGACACCTCAGTGCCCTACAGGGATACTTCCAACTAAAATGGAGCAACATAACAGACTGACGAGGGACCAGGTCAAAAAAAGCTAGGAGACAAAAGATTCCTTAAAGAGGGGGCTTTTTAAAGTCGATATTGATACCATCACTCAAAATACTGGAGCAAACCTGGTCATTAAACAATATAGGTAAGTATCTCTTCACAATATCTCCCACATATTTAAACTAAAAGAAGTGACATAAGTGGGTTTATTTCTTCTGGCTGGTTGACTTTTGAACTGACAAGGAGTTCCTTTCTGTCTTTACCTTTAGCAATTTTGTGAGCTCTATTTAAGATCCAGATCGGATAACCCTGTTCACATAATCGCTGATAAAGCAAAGAGGCTTCATGTTCAAAATTCATAATACCATTACAAATGCAGCAAAGCTGTAAAAACTGGCCCACTGGAATACTTTTAATAGTGTGTTTAGAGTGGCTAAATTGTGCCATAAGTGTCAGAGGTTTCCTATATAAACAGGTGACCAGGTTTTGCAATTAGCAGTACGTCATTAAATGACATCCATATTATGGATGAGACCGGTAAGCCTCAAATTTTCAGCTGTTGAAATTCATGTCTCCAAGATCACAGATGAACCTGTAGGGGTTATCACTCTCATAGAGGTGGTCCTGCTCCCACCAACCCATAAAGAGGTTGGTGAGTGAGGGTGATAATTTTCTCTCTTCTCTGCAGGTAATACACCCCATCAAAGATAAAATAGTTATGAGTTGACAGATATTCAAGTACTTCCAAGATAAACCCACAAACCTCAACAGAAAGGTCAGCGTGTTGATGTAAATAAAAAAATACTGCTTCAATTATCAATCTATGTGGAATGTAGTAATAGAGGCTTGCAACATCACAAGTGAGCCATGTTAGGTCTTCCTGCCACTCTGTAACAGATACCCTGTATCTTTTAGAAAACTGGGCAGCTAGAAAACGAATAGCTTGCCAAAAAGGTTTTTTTTTTCCTGTATATCCGGGGGTTCAGATTATTCTGCAATTATTATTCTTTTAAGAAGTTTCCATGTATTTATTTTATATTATTCATTATATGATATATTTATTTCTATATGTATTTGATACATTGTACTGGCGGGTGCTGTTTTTGATTTTGTTCTTTCAACAAAATTGGGAGTATTCATGTTTGTTACAGTTGCTGTGTTTTGTGTCTTGGGGAACGAGAGCTGCTAACTGGGTTCAGCTGGTATAGTGGTATGTTTATTTATACCAGTGAAATCACATGTGTGCTCTGTTATGATTAGGTGCTTGAAGAGTATCAGCGCAGTTCCCTACCTGTTGCATTGTGATGTCTGGCTTTTAATGGATCAGCAATAAAGGATTTTAGCATTGTCACAGCCTTGAGTGCCGTCATCCATTTCTACTTGCAAGATATCTTCCGGCTGGGAACCAGACCAGCACCCAGTCATGTGAAAGTGGATTTGACAGCTAGTAAACAACCATTGTGCACGCACCTGGAGCAGTGTCTGTTTTTGCACTATAAGTAGAGCCCATTTCACTGTTGCTGTTTGCCTGCAGTTTGGCAAGAAACCAAACCACACAGGATCAGCAAGGAATTCAGCAAGTACTATTGTATTCAGTGGTAGTTTCCATTCACCCATGTCTGTGGGCTGTAATTTTTGAAAATGCAGCTAGTTTCGGCTGAGAAGATGCATATTCATTGTTTTTGGTGGCCCAGCATACAAACCTGAAGCATGCTGAAAACAAACTGCTTGGAAACCAGAAGCAAGAATGTATGAGTTATTTAACCTGAAGGGGGACGGAGCAAAGGTTTTTGAACTGTGTGAGGAAACCCAATAAAACACAGTAAGAACATACAAACTCCAAAAAGTATCCTTGGTAATAAATGCATCCAGAGCCCCAAAACTGACAGGCCACCGTTCTAATCACTAAGCCACCCTATTGCCTTAAACATATGTTGCACTGCTATGACCACTTATACTTTACTTTCTTTCAGTTTTTATACATGGAGTTCATTATGTTTGAAACATCATCAAATCATGTGTTGGTCAATATAATGTATGCACGGAATATTGTCATCCCAGACCAAACCATGTGCAAAAGGCAAAAGTCCTCCAGCAAAACACAAAATACTTGCCCTGTGCAAGACACTGAAATTGGTCATGCAGATATTATCAATGTATGCCGTATTTCAGTGTTCATACAGTTTGACTGGTTGGTGAACCAGATGCTTTTAGTCAAACTGTGTGCATGTGTTTCTGGATTATTAACAAACTTAATTTCACATTGTCAGCAAATGTGAAATTTTCATTCTGGAGGACAAGTTGGAATGCTGCATCACATAACAAACAATAATTATTTATCTTTTAAAATGTATGTGACTATAGCTACAAAAATAGCATGGACCATCAAAATAAAAAATAATTAATATTTAAAAATGTAGTCAAGGAAAATCCACCAATTATGTATTTTTCTTACATCTCACAAAAATATTACCTCTTTGCTCTAAGGGTTTTAAAATAGTTTTCATCTAAAAAAGCAGTTACTCAGCTATGTGGTCTCCATAAAACAATACATATGCTCTTGTCTCAGTTTGATCTATTAATTTCTTTATGCTGAAATTAGAGAGGTTAAGCCAGAAGAAGGTCCAGAGATAGATGTATGGGAGATCCTGAAGAACGCCAGTCCCAATGAATATGAGAAGATTGCATTTCAGTATGGTATTACAGACCTGAGGGGGATGCTCAAAAGACTGAAACGTATGAGAAGAGAGGAGAAGAAGAGCGCAGGTACTGTATCCCAAGACACATGGGCATATTGCACAAAGCACAAGGCAATGCTTGACAAGCTCACCAAATGTAGTACTTTGTTATATACTCCCAAGCAATGAAGTGCGTGAACCACAGAATAAGAGATGTGAAAACAACCCAGCAATGAAAATCAGTACTAAATTTATTGAAGCAGAAGTGTGAAAAACCCTACAATAGCTTAAGTGGTTCAAATGATAAGGCTCCTAAGGCTAATGACTAGTACACTTTAAGTAATTTTTTTTTATTAAACCCAGAGGGCTTAATGAATAAAAACAGACAGACCGCTGTACTAACACAAGCTATGTTAGTACAGTGATCTTCCCCGCTGTGCTATTGTGTTCTGACAGGGGGACTGTGCCTGCCAAAACACACAGGTCAGCGCTCACAGCCATTGGCTGAGAGCATTGATTGGATGCCAATCGGATACTGGTTTTCCAACCATGCCCGTTTGACAAAAGCAGGATATGAGACCGGCTTGTGTTAGACAGGGAGCAGTACACATGGGCTAAAAGTCAGCTAGTTTCTACTGTAATGGCTGATTTTGGACCATATTTGGCCTGTGTCTACCCAGCATAAGAAACTTTATGGTATGAAAACACGTGAAGGGCAAATCCACACTGTTGCATATGATGCACTTGGTGGTACAAGCATGCAGTAATCCAAAAAACCCAAACAATTCACCTTTCATCAGTTAACAGCAGTCAGAACAACTAAAAACAGAGAATAATTGCCTGTTATGGGCAAAGTCAAAGGCATTGTGCTTGATCAAAAAGATGGAGTTTAAACCTAAAATAGAATATATTACAAAACATTTCCCAAAATTAAAAGTACTGCTACAGTTGCACAGTTAATAAAGGATCAGTGCATCCAAAAGTGCTATTTAGGAGCCCATCAGGCTGTACTTTCCATTCAAATACTGTATCCCTTCTTGCCTCTTTTTTTTTATGTATCTTGGATACTCCAAGTAGTGAAGTCTTCTTGCCATAATTCCTGACTCCAGTTTTGCTCCTGGGCACCTACATAGTTTTAGGTATTAGTTCTTGTTTTACTCTCCACAATATAAATTAATAACACATCCAACAGAAAGAGTGTGACCTACCTAATAATGGCCATAACAGGTGTGTAGACCCGGAAAGTCAACCTTACCAATAAAGTCCTCCAGAGAATGTAAGAAATGGTTATGGGTTTTAACTTTCTACGAATTTATAAAAACTGCAATATTAGTTTTGGGGATAACAGACAGACCTTTAATTTAATGACAGCACACGAACTGAGGCATGTACCTTGGGAAGTTATATTAATAGGTAAAAGGACATTTACCCTTACGCCACTATGACCATTTATAAATACTTCTGTGCAGCTTTAAAGGATTACTCAACATTTGTGGGAAAAAAATATTGTAAATAAAAACAATATAACATATACAATTGCGACACAAGCCATTTTGTAATATAACATTATTAATAAAAATGACCTTTCCTTTTCAATCTGCAGCACTGTAATTTTCTGTAAATTGCAATGTAATATGGCAACCTGGAGGCGTTCTGTACACAGATGGTGTTCGGAACATCCCCGAAAAGTCCTTTCCTGATTGTGTGATTTGCTTTCTAATTTTCCCCAAAATCTGCACTAAAATACAAATCAGATTTTGGGCATGCTTGCACCCTCTGCAAAAAGCATTTTGATACTGGTGATAGTCCCAAAGGGTTAATGTCGTCTAACAGGATTCAGACCCTACCACTTTCCCACTAGAGCCCCACAATTACAGCAGCTGATCACTATGAAAAAAAATGACTACCTTTCACATTCATGTTGCACATGGACACAGATAAACAATTAGCTACTTCTTCAGAATACCAAATGGTAGGAATCTGCATCAAAGTTTGTTAAAATCCTTGTTTGAGGTGATTGTAGCCGTATTAGTGCATAACAATTGAGTACTGTCCGTGATACTTTTTTTATTTGCTCTAACATACAATTTTGAGGACAAGCTTTCGGGGTATGTCCCCTTCTTCAAAGTCCAAGCAGTACTGTACAAATCACAAAGTTTCAGCAGAATGTTAGAAGAGATGAAGAAAAAAAAAAGAGCGAGAGAGGCTAGAGATAAGATACAGCCAAAGTGAGGCGGGAGGGGGGGGGATACTACACTCACACAGAGGGAGTCAAGCTAGCTAATAGTCATAAAACTGTTGGATAATAAGTGAGGAATTCCATGTCCAAATTAAGGCCGTTATCTCTTGTGTCAAATAGAATTATCATTAGTTCAAAATCCTTATTAAAAAATTAAAATCCTTGCAATGCGCACAGATCACCCAGAGGGGAATGTTTTTTCTCAACAAAAGTGGAGTTACTCTTTAAGGTAGATCTACACTACAGTATATAGGAGCATGTAATTTGAGACACATTTGAGCCTTGCTTATCTGATAACTTGTCTTTGTAGCTGCACAGAGTCATATCTCTCAAATAATATGATAAATAATAATAATATATTAAATAATAATATTATATTATTATTAAAGTTATATATGTGAATGTTTTTTTACTGATGATTCTTATTGCTGCAGTGTCTAAACTATGTTGGATTTCCACAAATCTATGTGTGGTCATAAGGAGATGGATTTGTGCTTTGTCAGCTATCAATTTTATTAATATAAGGCAGTGCCAGGCAATGACACAATCCTCAGAAACAATTATTGTCTGTATTAAATATTCAACAAATAACTTGGTGGTTTAACTTTCCAGAAGCTATGAAAAACTGAAATATCAGTTATGGGATGATCAACCATTAATTTAATGCACATTTTGTGTCTGTGCCCAAAGCTTTTGCCAAGATATTGGATCCCGCTTATCAAATCGACAAAGGAGGACGCGTGAGATTTGTTGTTGAGCTTGCAGATCCAACAGTGGAGCTCAAATGGTATAAAAATGGTCAGGAGATACGACCAAGTACGAAGTAAGTAAATATATGAGAGATAAACATTATCAACACATACATAAATGCCAACTGAAAGGTCTGCACTATAACAAGATTTTAATCTCACTGCTTTATTTTCCTGGTCACTTACTGACAGTAGAAGATTTATTTTAGAATTGATCCACTGCATTTTGTACACAGACTAGATTTCAGTTCATTGCTGCTTTAGATTACTATTACCAGTGATTTTGGTAGATGTTATGAAATCTGTAAGTCCATGCAAAAAAAAAAACTTTTTTAAAAAATCACTGAAAAAAATGCTACATATGGGATTCCTGTATTAATTTTTTTTTGTACTTTTTTAAAAACCACTTCAAGTCGGGACACTTTTACCCCCTTCCTGTCCAAACCAATTTTCAGCTCTGTCACACTTTGAATGACAATTCTGTGGTCATACAACACTGTACCCATATGAATTTTTTTAGCATTTTTTTGAGACAGATAAAAATTTATATTGGTGGTATTTATTCACCACTGGGATTTTTATTTTCTGTGCTATATAAATGAAATGTAAAAGTCCAAAATTTTTTTTAAAAAAGTGTTTTTCTTATAACATTTTGCAAATAAATAATCTTTCTTCATAAATCTTGGCCAAAATGTATTCAGCTAACTCAAATTAGTTTATAAACAAAATCTTTTACATTTTTTTTACATTTTTATATATTTTTTTATATTATTATTTATTAATTTTTTAACATACTGTCACCCTAACAGTACAGTGTCACCATAGTGTGGGGGTGATGAAGATTTTTTTTTTTTTTTTACACTGATTGCTTTTACGCCCATAAAGGCTGTAAAAGCAATAATTTCTCTTTTCTCGCTGGCTGCATTCTTGCAGCCATTGAGAAATACTGTGAAAGCTGTGATTGGTTTTTTTTTTACACTGATTGCTTTTACGCCCATAAAGGCTGTAAAAGCAATAATTTCTCTTTCTCGCTGGCTGCATTCTTGCAGCCATTGAGAAATACTGTGAAAGCTGTGATTGGTCACAGCTTGTTACATGGTACAAGGTTGTTGTGAATAGCCTTGTACCATGTGACCTCTGTGATCATTCACAGATTTCACACGTAGTAAGCAATGATGTCAGGAAGTGACATCTTCCTTACTACTATTCATGTGATCACTGATTGGCCAACCAGTGATCACATGACGGGACCTCACACAGAGGTCCCATTCAGCGATTGGTGTTCCTCCGGACACAGTGGGCAGCGGATCGCGGTGCCGCGCACTCCCAGGGAGCAAGCACAGGCTAAAATGGTGGGCGCCGTTTATGAAGGGCAACCCACCCCTGCACTTATCCCTTCCGGCCGTTTATATACATGGGCCGGATGGGAAGTGGTTAGATTGCTCTTTGACTTGTGCTAATATGGACAAAGACAGTAATAAAAAACAGAGACAGACACATTAACTCTGGTCAACATTTTTATTTAGCTTTGGACATTGACAACCCTTTTCAAGTGTTCAACACTGCATTTACATGAGTCACTAGTAGCTCTCCTACTGCAAGGAAAGTTGATGAACTACTGTATTAACTGGTTATACTTGTGGTTTACAAAAGTGAGAAAATACTTGCTGTGTTTACAAACTGAATATAATTCTTTCTTTTATTTAAACAGGTACATATTTGAGCATAAAGGAAACCAAAGGATACTGTTTATTAATAACTGCACATTGGCAGATGATGCTGCATACCAAGTGTGTGCTGGAGATGAAAAGTGCTCTACAGAGTTGTTTGTTAGAGGTTTGTATTGCCATATGTATGATTTCATGAGCCTACAGGCATCCAAGCTTTTATATATTAAAAAAGGAATAAGTGTCAGGGCATTTAGGCCTCATGCACGCTGGATGTTGTTGCAGCTGCTCCTAGGGGTATCAGCCATTTTTTTCCCTGTCTTTCCCTGCTATTAGCCCATGTCTTTCCCTGCTATTAGTGTCCATGCACATATAGGCTTTTAGCGGCGTTTAGTGGCAGGACAGTTTAGTGGGAGGGAAAAAAACCCACTGCCAGAGCAGAGTTTGGGCAGAAAAAAAAAACGCTTGACATGTAAACGTGTCTGAATTCACCTAAATGCGTGTTAATGTTAGGCACATTTATTTCATTCTGGCCAATGAAATTAATTAATGCCCAAGGGCTTGTTGCCTGTAAATGTACCTAAACATCTTTAAAAACGCTGCTGGCTTCTAGGAGAGTTAATAAAAAGTCCTGTGTGCATGAGGCAGATGAGAAAGCTCATTACATTCATTGAAAATATTTTCAAGCTCCTTTATCCGCGTTGCCCTATAGCAGAAATACTGCTACAGGGTGGCATGGGTGCGCAAAATCACACATATATACAAGATTTTGCAGTTCCTGGTAGGGGGGCACGTGCGAGCCCTACCCGCGCTGCCATTAGCGGCCTCGGCTGTCAAACACCAGGGGATTCCCTGCCGGCACCCAGCGATCTCTCTTCTGTCAGCTCCTGCACAATGCTTTGTATGGCTCTGCATGTAAACAAAACAGTCCTCCTCCCCATCGTCGGAGATCTTTGGAAATCACTGGGTTCTGGTTAATATTGGTTAATATCACAATATTTTGCACACCCTGTGCCTCCCTGTAGCAGTATTTCTGCTATAGGGCAGACAGGAAGTGGTTAATATCACTTTAACATCCCCACACTGGAACTAAAGTTTGTATTAAAGGCTTCAACAAAGTTGCTTGAAGCTTGCTGAAAGATTTGAAAATACTCCATAGCAGGGGCGGACTGACAACTCATGGGGCCCCCAGGCAATAGTGGATCATGGGGCCCCTGTGTTCTTGCCCAAACTCAAAAAAGCCTATGAAAAAGATACCAGGGGCATCTCATGGGGCCCCCTACTGACCCTTGGGCAGTGCCCGAGTTTCCAAATGATCAGTCCGCCCCTGCTCCATAGTATAAAATATTGTAAAAGCTTGTAGTACACATTGCTCTTTTACATACTGAGGTCCATATGTACAAGGCCTTCTATCCCAAATAGATGAAAGCTGAACAGTGCTTTAAAGGTTTCAAGAAAGCTCTGTACAAACTGCTGAAAGCTTTGCAAACAAACTACAGATGGATTATACTAGATAGAATGTATGAACTGCATTGCTGACTTTCTCATTCAAGCTCCAATGTTTGGGTGAAGAACTGAACTTCTTCCCAATTCTTAACTAATAACCCTGATATAAATGCACATTTTGGCTTTTGAGGCAAATCTCACAGTCATTATGTTTTAAAGTGATATTTGGTGTTCTCCATGACAGAACCACCAGTGCTGGTCACAAAAGAGCTGGAGAATGTCAGCACGTACTGTGGAGAAAGAGTGGAACTGGATTGTGAGGTATCTGATGAAGAAGCCAATGTGAAATGGTAAGTTTGCTGGGCCACATATCACTTTATAAATTGGGCAAATACGCATCTTTCAACTGGTACAATTAAATTTGATTAAAGAAAAGTACACATAATTATTTGTGTTAATGTTATGAACATATTATTTGTGATTTCTCAGGTTTTAAAAATGGTGTTGAGCTTACCAATGAACCAAGGTCAAGGTACAGACTAAAGGTGGATGGCAAAAGGCACATACTGATTATAGATGAAGCAGACAGAGGGGACTCAGCCACCTATTCTGTGATGACCACAGGAGGACAGTCAGCAGCTCAAGTACAAGTTGACCGTAAGGGCTTGTTATATCCAATGCTTTGTTGTAGTTAATGTGAAAAAAATGATCTCCTTTAGGAAAAAAAAAAACCTACATTGAATGGTGAATATTTGTATGATATTATCAAGTTAACATTTGGGCAAAGGAGTCCAGTGTACCTGGCAGATTTCCCATCAAGTGTTACATTCAGTAGTATCATACACAGGGAAGGGTCAATTCTTTTTTTTAAAAAGGAATCAATACTTAATGATTGCAAAGATTTTATAACATAATTCAAAATGCAATAATCAGAAATGTTAATGCTATCGTTGAGTAGTTAGAGCCTAATTCTTACCAAATCTTTTACATATTTAGTTATGGACAGTGGTCAAGGGTTAGATCCTCTGTCAGGGTGTCACATTCAATTAAAGCATTGCCAGGCCTCCACTGCTGGAGCTGGGGAAAAAATGGCAATTTGTAGGAATTATTCTAGTGAACTAAATTGTTGTACAAAGAAATAGAAAGCACAACTGGGTGTCCACCAGCCAATATTGAAGTTGTTGTTGGTTTTCAGAATTGACATTTACAGTTGCAAGAAAAAGTATGTGAACCCCTTGGGATTACGTGGAGTTTTGCATGAATTGGGCATAAAACTGAACGTCATCTAAGTCACAACAATAGAAGAACACAGTCTGCTGAACATAATACAACACAAACATTAGATGTTGCCATGGTTTAATTGCACATAACATGTAAACATTCACAGTGCAGGGAGGAAAAAGTATGTGAACCCCTAGCTTAATGACTTCTCCCAAGCTATTTAGAGCCAGGAGTGAGCCAACCTTGACTCAATCAGTGTGATGATATTGGATGTGTTGCTGACAGCTGTCCTGCCCTTAAAAAAACACACACCTGCTTTGGGTTTACTGGTTTCAAGAAGTACTGTCTGATGTGAGCCATGCCTCGCAGAAAAGAGCTCTCAGAAGACCTACGATCAATAATTGTTGACTTGCATGAAGCTGGAAAGGGTTACAAAAGTATCTCCAAAAGCCTTGATGTTCATGTGTCCACAGTAAGACAGACTGTCTACAAATGGAGAAAGTTTAGCACTGTTGCTACTCTCCCTAGGTGTGGTCGTCCTGTAAAAATGACTGCAAGAGCACAGCGCAGAATGCTGCATGAGGTAAAGAAGAATCCCAGAGTGTCAGCTAAAGACCTACAAAAATCTCTGGCACATGCTAACATTTTTGTTGACACATCTACAATAAGGAAAACATTAAACAAGAATGGAGTACATGGGAGGACACCACGGAGGAAGCCATTGCTGTCCAAAAGGAATATTATAGCACGTTTGAAGTTTGCAAAAGAGCACCTGGATGTTCCACAGCACTACTGGCAAAAATACACTGTGGACAGATGAAACCAAGATTGAGTTGTTTGGGAAGAAACACAAAACTATGTGTGTGGAGAAAAAAAGGCACAGCACACCAACATCAAAACCTCATCCCGCTGTAAAACATGACGGAGGGAGCATCATGGTTTGGGGCTGCTTTGCTGCCTCAGGGCCTGGACGGATTGTTGTCATTAATGGGAAAATGAATTCCAGAGTTTATCAAGACATTTTGCAGGAAAACGTATGACCATCTGTCTGCCAACTGAAGCTCGTAGAGGATGGGTGATGCAACAGGACAATGACCCAAAGCATACAAGTAATTCAACAAAACTGTGGCTGAAACAGCACAGAATACGCCTTCTGGAGTGGCCCAGTCAGAGTCCTGACCTCAACCCGATTGAAATGCTGTGGCATGACCTTAAGAGAGCGATTCACACCAGACATCCCAAGAATATTGCCACACTGAAACAGTTTTGTGAAGAGGAGTGGTCCAAAATTACTCCAGATCGTTGTGCAAGGTCTGATCTGCAACTACAGGAAACGTTTGGTTGAGGTTATTGCTGCCAAAGGAGGGTCAAACTGTTATTAAGTCCAAAGGTTCACATACTTTTTCCTCCCTGCACTGTGAATGTTTACATATTATGTGCAATTAAACCATGGCAACATCTAATGTTTGTGTAGTATTATGTTCAGCAGACTGTGTTCTTCTATGGTTGTGACTTAGATGACGTTCAGAGCACATTTTATGCCCAATTCATGCAAAACTCCACGTAATCCCAAGGGGTTCACATACTTTTTTCTTGCAACTGTACCTTTTAGCAGCAAACAAAAATAAAGCAATAGCATGAAATCACCCAGGGACTTTAAAGGCAGAAAACGTATATATAAAATCACAATATCTTAAAGGACAAATGTCAATCTTTATTTAGAAACATGTCTTATTTATAAAACAAAAGAACCACATAGGTCCCTAGAACCCTGTAAACAGTGTGGGTCACTAGATGATGTTACATACAATCAGGTAGTGGTACAGAATACATATACCCTAGCATACAAAGACACACCAACAAGGAACTGCCAAATGGGGGTGTAGCTTGGTCAGTCAAGGTGTGATCTTGGGACCCTTCCTCTTCTCCATCTACACCTCCTCCCTTGGCAAACTGATATACTCCCATGGCTTCAACTATCACCTCTACGCTGATGACACACACAAATTTACCTCTCCACCCTCACCTCACCCCTTCAGTCTCCGCCTGTATCACCCACCTACTGAACGACATATCAGACTGGATGTCGTTCCATTTCCTCAAATTGAACCTTTCCAAAACCGAGCTCATAATTTTCCCCCCAGTCTGCGCCCCCCCCCCCATCCTCTCCATCACGACCAACAATGCCACCATCAGTCCCACCCCGCAAGCCAAAGTCCTAGGTGTCACTCTAGACTCAAACCTGTCCTTCCAACCCCATGTCCAATCGCTGGCAAACTCATGCAGGCTCCACCTCCGCAACATCTCCAAAATACGTACGTTCCTAACCCCAGACACTGCTAAACAACTCGTTCACTCCCTTATTATCTCACTTCTGGACTACTGCAACTCCCTCCTCACTGGCCTACCTCATCACAGACTATCCCCGCTTCAGTCTATCCTGAACTCAGCGACCAGACTCATCCACCTTACCAACCGCTCCGCTTCTGCCACCGCCCTCTGTCATTCCCTCCACTGGCTTCCGATTGCCCAACGCATAAAATTCAAACTACTAACATTGACGTACAAAGCCATTCATAACACTGCCCCAAACTAACTCACCGACCTGATACCCAAATACCACCCAACACATACTCTTCGCTCCTCACAAGACCTCCTACTTTCTAGCTCCCTGGTCTCCTCCTCCCACGCCTGACTGCAGGACTTCTCCAGGACTTCCCCCATCCTCTGGAACTCACTATCCCAATCCATCAGACTGTCAACTACCCTCCTCACCTGTAGGCGCACCCTGAAATCCCATCTCTTCAGGGAAGCCTACCCCACTCTCACCTAACAGCCGATCTCCTCCACTCCTCCTACCACTCCATCCCCCACAGCAACTTCCTCCTGTACCACTATCCCCTCCCTCCTAGATTGTAAGCTCCAAGGAGCAGGGCCCTCGAACCTCTTGTGTATTGTTTTGTTACTGTATTGTCTCATGTACTGTCCCCCACTATAATGTACAGGGCTGAGCAAACCTTTTGGCACTATATAAATACTGTATAATAATAATAATAATAATAATAATCTTCAAAGTATCCCAACATGTTTCGGAAAAATCATTCCTTCTTCAGGGCAAAGAATTGGGTATAACAATACTAAAATGTAATAAATAAAGCATCAGTATAATACTGCGACTGCTTGAAAAAAAACAACTTTTTCACACCATATGAGAGCAGATTATGCATATGGTGTTGCTGTCAGCCTCGGCCCACAATAGTCCCATCACAGAAGCGCCCTCAGGCCATTGGCTGACAGCAACTCCATATGCATTACAATCCTGTTTTCATGACCTTCAGACTATTGTATATACGGAGTATATAAGTGTATTTGAATGATATTATAAGGGTAATACATACCTGCCACTATCTGCACTCATTATTCATCATATGCTGTGAAAAAATTGTTTCTCAAACACTCGCAGTATTATACTGATGCTTTATTTATTACATTGTAGTATCGTTATAACCAGTTCTTTCCCTGAAGAAGGAATGATTTTTCCAAAACGGAAATATATGGGATATTTTAAAGATCACACCTTGACTGACCAAGCTACACCCCATTTAGCAGTTCCTTGTGGGTGTGTCTTTGTATGCTAGGGTATATTTATTCTGTACTACTATCTGATTGTATGTTACTTTCATTTAGTTACCCACACTGTGTACAGGGTTCTAGGGATCTATGTGGTGCCTTTGTTTTTATAATATATGTTTCTAAATAAATATTGACATTTGTCTTTTAAGATATTGTGATTTTGTATATACTTTTTCTGCCTTTAAAGTCCCTGGTGGATTTCATGCTATTGCTTTAATTTTTCGCTGTTTTGTACGGGATGTTGGCAGATTTGCCTATGGTATACATCACTTGATTTAGTATTGCTATACATTTAACGTTTAGCAGGGAAAGATTGCATAATGTGGGTGTCCAGTACTAAAAATCTGTAAGAGTCAAGAATGTTTCAGGAACACATCTCTAAAGTTTAGGTTTATCTATGTCTAAAATTAAACATTTTGGTATTAACAATTGCACCATTATATCTTTTTTTTCCAAAGTGCGACCACTGAAAATATTACAACCCCTGACTGATATGACTGTGAATCTTGGCAAGGAAATTCATTTGAAGTGTGAAATCTCTGAGAATGTTTCCTGGAAGGTGGTACAGAAATGGCCAGCTTATTTATGGCAGTGACCGCATTAAGATATTTCATAAGGGAAGGTGAGAACATCTGGAAAGATCGGACTTCACAGTATAAGAAACCCTCATGAAAAGTTCTAGAGTTGCTTCCTTAATTTGTTATTTGTAGTACACCAAAAGTTTTGATCCACCATTCCAATGCCATGCTGTCTGTATGACTAGGACAATGTGCTTTTACTATTTACATATGCATGAATCTTTCACTTAAATCCTTATGACTACTTCATTTTATGAATACACATTTTTGGTCTTTTAACACAGGGAAGCTGAGTGATATTGGCAGCCAAGGACCCAATTACATGCGAAGGCATGTCGAGACTGACGTACTGCCTTCAAAAAAAATTTAATGGAGCTGGAATCTAATGTAATTAATGCAATGAAATTGTCCCTCCACTACAGTTAAGTGTCAGGATAATGGTAATCGGAATCGGACAGAGAAGTGAACATAAATAGCTGCTTAAAAAGAAGATTTAGGCTAATTTATAAGGTAAACAGGAGTTGGACAGACATAAGTGGAAGAAAGGTTTTGGGTTTTTAAAAGCGAATACACTAGAAATAACAGGACATGAAAAAAAAGTTACTGATCATGCTGTTTTAGCATCTTAGGAAAATATTGAAAAGTGTTATGGAAATTTCACCTTCTCTTCTTTCAGTCCTATAGAGTAAACCTCAGCTTGCCACAATTTTCTGTACTATGCAAGAAATAGTTTTAGTGATATCAACTACAATTACATTTGTATAGAAATACCATAATTTCTAATACTTGTAAAAAATTGTATGCTGCCCATACACACATTGATTTTTCATTCTATCAACGGATCAATATAACTATATAAACTGATCTCATGATTAAAAGAATTGTTTCATACAACATAAAGGATAAATTTACTTGCAGTAATTCAGTCATTTTCATTGTTAAAACTTTATTGCAAAAGTAAAACTCAAGCAATAAAAAAATAATTAAGTGACTTAAAACTGATATGAACCAATAAATAAACAATTTAAACAAAGATGTTAATGCAAAGATTATTTTTTTTTTTTTAGGAATCACAGATTAGTTATAGCAAATGCACTTGTTGAAGATGAAGGTGATTATGTATTTGTTCCCGATCTTTACCTTATTAATATTCCAGCCAACGTACATGTCATTGGTACGTATTCTCACCTATTACCAGACCACTTGTGAAATTTTTATGATTTACCTGTCTATACCTATCATCTTTCAGTTAGTAATAATAATATTAATATACAATTATTATTGTGTTAATTTAATTCTAAGCTAATAAGCAAAATAAACTGTATGTTTCCTTTGTAGATCCTCCAAGAATCCATTTTGATTCTCTCAATTATCCGGATAATACTGTGGTAGTTGTAGCAGGAACAAAGCTGCGGCTTGAGGTGCCAGTTACTGGTGAACCCGCACCTAAAATTATCTGGAGTAGAGGAGATAAGGTAATCACTAAGGCCTTGTTTAAACCTTTTACTGACAATATGGGAGATAATCTAGAAAAAAGCATGGAAGGTTTTATAAAACCTATCTCATTGAGATATGGTTGACTAACGCGTTTGCGTAATTCAGCAGTAAATTTTTATTTACTTACTTATTTACCTATTATTTACTTTTTTACTTATTTACTTTTTTACTTATTTACTTACTTATTTACTTTTATATATAAGAAGTAGCAGGCTTCCATCTTAACATACTAATGTCCTTACACTGTGCTCCTAATCCATTAGAACCCTCATGTTTTTTCGTTCAACAGTAAAAAGCTTAGCTGTTAAACTTCACTGTGCACCACATGTTAACCCGCTGGAAGGTACAAGATTCCCATTGTTACACTTGTTTGGAATTCCAAACGTCACTTTGGAATTCTTTAGTAATAGTGAGCTGCACTGTAGCCGATGATTAAAAATAAATAAAAAAATAATTGTCTCCTACCAATGTGTTGAGGACAGACCACTGCTCCTTCCTTAGGATATAATATTATATACAAACATATTAAAGTAAGAGAAATCAAAAAGAAAACAAAACAATAGATTATGGATAATATGGTAAAGGCAACTGAGAGCTTTAAAGTATATTTTCACTTTTGCACTCAAATATGAGAAAATCCCACTATATGTTTGTTATGTATTTATTACAGGTACTTATATAGCGCCGTCAATTTACACAGCACTTTACATATATATTGTACATTCACATCAGTCCCTAACCCTCAAGGAGGGTACAATCTAAAGTCCCTAACTTACATTCATACATACACATACTAGGGCCAGTTTAGACAGCAGCCAATTACCCTACCAGCATGTCTTCGGAGTGTGGGAGGAAACCAGAGTACCTGGAGGAAACCTACTCAGGCACAGGGAGAACATGCAAACTCCAGGCAGGTGGTGCCGTGGTTGGGATTTGAACCAACGACCCTACTACTGCCAGGTGGAAGTGCTAACCATTTAGCCACTGTGCTGTCTCATTCACAAAGCATATCAAAAATATTTTTCTAAAAAATATTTCTGACTTGGGGTTCGATATTTACCCCCATAAAAGCTGTAAATAAAAAGGGAGGATTGGTATGACCTTGTGTGTAGGTGGGGTAAGCTGTATGGCCACCTACCATGTGTTTGCATTCACTGGGTTATTACACTGTCAGGCTTTTGTTACTGTCTGTAATCATTGCGAAATCCCCCCTCACTTATTGTTCCACTGACAGGAAGGAAGGAACTGATAGGAAACTCCATCTAAAACTTAAGAAAACATTCTATGGCTTTGGATTTTAGGAGTTCTTTTTCAATGTTTTTTGTATCTTTTAGTGGATCACAGATCTGAGTGGTCGTATAAGGGCAGAGTCGTTCCCTGATCATGGACTTCTAGTCATTGACTCTGCTGAGAAGGAAGATACTGGGACATACAGGATGATGGTAAAGAATGAAGCAGGTGAAGCTGTAGCTCACATCAAAATAAAGGTTGTTGGTAAGTTAGAATAATGTTTGCATTGTTATAGCCATATCATACCTACCAACCAGATCTTTTCCCAAGCTTAGATAACAATACACAACAAAATTAAATTTACTTGTAAATTTCTGAGCAAGTGTGCAAAGCAGGGAAGGTTATTACACCATGGGAAGGGGTCAGTGTGGCAGGCATTCATTCTGCCTTCACAGCCAATAGAATAATTGCATTTTTATTTTTCAACTCCAAGTTCAATGACAGAATTTAAATTTGAGAATGCATTCTTAAGTTGAATAAATGTAATCATATTTGTATGTTTAATTACTTTTAAGTGTTTGTTATTCATAATGAGAACATCATCTAAATGAGTTATGAAAAAGCAGCCATAAGTTTAGGATAAACTGCATTATTCATCTGTAAATTCAGTGTTAAAACACACATATGTGAACTGACTTAAAGTAGAGTTCCACCCAAAAGGGGAAGTTGCATTTTAAAGATTGGTCCCTTGCTTCCCATTAAGGATTGGCACCTTTGGGGAGCGGGTAACCGAAATTGATAGGTACCCACTCCCACTTCCGCTGCGATCGGAAGCGGAAATTGTCCTCCTACCCTCCGTTCCGTAGTCTTGTGGGACACGTGACAGGTCCCAGAAGACTATGGGGCATTCAGGAAGCGCAGAGCTACTCACACGCATGCGCAGTGGGCACCCGGCTATGAAGCTGCAAGCTGTCACAGCCGGGTGCCCACACTGAAGATGGGACGACCAGTAAAACAGGCTACAGCAGGGGCACTGTGGGATCGTGGGGCAGGTAAGTGGCTGTTTTTTAAAAGTCAGAAGCTACAGTATTTGTAGCTGCTGACATTTATGTTTTTACAGTGTGGGTGGGAACTCCGCTTTAAGTAAGTAATTGCAATTCTGTCAAACTGCTTTTGTGACCCATACACCTGTGCCTGACAGCACAGCCAGCAGGGTGACCCTTTCCTCTGTGTTAATGGATAATAATAATGCCCATGCTCCAGCCCTACCCATGCTATGTGGCCTTGCTGCTGCTAGCTCTCTACATGGGTTCCACAAAGGGTCTGGCAGGACCCTGGACAAGTGAGTATAAAACGTTGGCAAGAGGGAACTGGGGAAGAAAAGGGTCAGAGGTGACTTAAAGAGGAAGGAAAGGCTATCTACTAAAAAAGCATTAAATGATACCTGCCCTCTGCCTTTACTAATGCTGCACACCATTTGTAATAATAAGCAATAACACCTTTTTTTAATCAGTTTCCTAGTGGTCACGTGACCTCACAGTGTTGGGTCTTGGGACTTACAAATGATGTGCAGCATGAGTAACGGCAGAGAGCAGGCAACAGAGTAAGCTTTCTTATTATATAACCTTCCATTCTTCTTAAAAAGGATAATTACACAAAAAGAATAGTTATCCTTTAAAGCAGAACTCTGGTCAAAAATGTTTTTCCATGTCCTTGCTGCTGATCTCCTACCTTCACTGAATATGTCTGTCATCTTCTGGTTTACTCAGTAATTGCTCTGAAATAAACTGATGATTTTCAAATCAAACCGTCAATCCCCTGTGGTTTCCTGTTTGTAAGACCAGTGGCTGCTATTATTCCTATTCTCCCAGCCACTGGTCTTGGCACATCCCTTCTGTAGTTCTTCCTCCAGGAAGCTGTAATGCATTTCCTCCCTGCTCACTGTAGTGGGAGGAGTAAGACCTCCCACTGAGGCTGTGTTCTACCAATGACAGCTCAGGACACTCTGGGTTTGTCCCACCTTCCATAGCTTCAGCTAGGAGTCTCTGCACCTCCTCCACTAGTAACAGTGTATATACAATACATAATAGGGATGCACTCAGATATCGGCGGCCGAAAATAGTGTTATCGCTATTTTGCTGATAGGAAAGGGGTGCCGATAATGACCACCAAAAACGCAATTGTACCCACAATTTTGCCATGATTTTACCCTCGACTTTGCCACAATTTTTACCTAGGATTTTGCCATGATTTTATTCACAATTTTGCCACATTTGTAACTGTGATTTTGCCACAGTTTTACATATGATTTTACCCGTGATTTACCCATGATTTTGCAGCAATTTCACCTATGATTTTACCTGAAATTTCACCTGTGATTTAACCGCAATTTTAGTCTTGATTTCACCTGCGATTTTGCCACAATTTTACCAGTGATTTTAGCTGCAATTTTGCAGCGATCTTACCCAGAATTTAGCTGTGATTTTACCCACGATTTTGCCATGATTTTACCCTCGACTTTGCCACAATTTTACCTAGGATTTTGCCATGATTTTATTCACAATTTTGCCACATTTGTAACTGTGATTTTGCACAGTTTTACATTGATTTTACCCGTGATTTACCCATGATTTTGCAGCAATTTCACCTATGATTTTACCTGAAATTTCACCTGTGATTTACCCGCAATTTTAGTCTTGATTTCACCTGCGATTTTGCCACAATTTTACCAGTGATTTTAGCTGCAATTTTGCAGCGATCTTACCCAGAATTTAGCTGTGATTTTACCCACGATTTTGCCATGATTTTGCTGTGATTTTATCATGCTTAGGGTGTGTCATGTGACACAAAGGTAGGCCATCAAGCATAAAAAACGCAGCACATGCTCGTTTTTGCTGCATTTTTGCTGCGTTTTCAATGCATTTCAGGCCTGGTTCACACCAAAGCAGTTTGCATTTTGTTTGTTTTGCAGTGCTTTTTGCAGTGTTTTGTGTTTTTGCATGCACAATTTTGACGCTTTTTTGATGCGTTTTGCATTTTTTTAATTATTTTTTTTTTTGCCAGCTTGTTGCTGTGCAGATTAAAAGCACAAAATGCATCAAAAACTTAATGTGTGTGTTTTTGCTGCATTTTCAAGGAATTTCAGGCCTGGGGCACTTTTCTGGTGCTTTTTTGATACGCTTTGCGTTCTTTTAATGTTTTTCTTTTTTTTGTCCAACTTGTTGCTGGGCAGATTAAAAACATAGATTAATGTCCCGGTTTCAATTCTGTTGTGGCCATAATTCTGGGCATGTTGCCATATTTAATCTGGGATTAAAAACAAAATGTCAGGGCAATTAGATCCTATTCTGTTGTGATTGGAGTGATCAGCGGTGGCAGCTGGGGAATGTCTGGGCGTGATTTCTGTTGAAGTAGGGGAGTACACATTTAACATGTACAGCCCTAGTGTAGCTGCCCACATTCACTACAATTCCCAAAGGTTGATGGGAAGTGTAGTTTCCTGAGAGGAGAGGATATGATGTATTCCCAGCTGTTACACTTCCTCCTTGGCAGAGCAGATGCTGTTATTTTTTGAATTACAGAGATGACTTCCTGAAAATTCAATTAGACTTTTTCAATGGTAAGGAATTTCACAAATGTATTAACTGTTTAGTGTTTTGTGTAGGGTGGTGTACTAATGGGTGATTTTTTTTGCCTATCCCGGAGTTCTTCTTTAAGAAACAAAGTGGTTTTGCCTATTTGTTCGCTGCCTTTGGCCTGGACAATGAAGGATCAGCAAGCGTTGCCAAGTCATTAAGTGTTCTTGCATGGCAAGACCACTTACTGTTATCTCACATATATATTCTTATTATTATAGCCAAATTTACCACCCTAACTCCTCCCACAGTTTTTACACTACATAGACAGTAATATACCGAAACATGCGGATTGTTCCCGATTGGTGTGCTATTAATTTTTGGAACGTTTCGCCGAATGGTTCACAAAATATCAGCGTTTTTGTGGTGAAATTGGTCCCAGAGGAATGAATGGCACAATGTTCAAAACTAGAGTGTGAGCTGACAAAACCTTTTCACAGTTACTCCAGCCACTCCAACCACACAACAGTTACTCAAGCCACTCCACCCAGTTTACTCCGCCCACTCCAGTTGTAGACTACTGGTGGAGGCAAGAACACTTCACACAATTTCCCCAGAAATTGTAGCTTTTCTAGTTATCTCTGCTCTTTCTACTTTGTCAGAAGATATGCATACATTAGTCTGAGTGCTGCTGTGCAGAGGATGAAAGGAGGCTGACCTCAAGACAGACGTAGGGTCTTTTGCTAATTGTATGTAAAAATATGTTCATTATTTTTAAAAGTATACAAATCTACATTAAATAGTTGTCTTTTTTATCTTCCTGGAATTCAGCTTTTAAGACTTTTCTTGAGAAATTTCCCAACACATTTGGAATGATAGCACTAAAGACATTAATAAACATCAGAAAATGGTCAGATTGTGCAAAGACAATGTTTGCACAACATTGGCCCATTACAGGAATATTTGGGTCACATAAGCATTCCTATTTAGATTATTGATTTAGCAGGAGACGACATGGCTTCGAAAATAGAAGACAGCCACAGCACTGTCTTATCTTGATAGAAAAGAAGCAAATATACATTTGGGTTTATTATCTAAAGATAGAGAGTGCAAAATCTGGTGCAGCTCTGCATAGAAACCAGTCGGTTTTCAGGTTTTATTGTCAAAGCTTAATTGAACAAGCTGAGGTTAGAAGCTGATTGGCTACCATGCACAGCTGCACCAGATTCTGAGTGCTTCAGTTTTAGTAAATCCACTGGTTTTCCGACCTCTCTGTTTACTTTGTCTTCTGAAAAATGGTAAGCAAAACTGTTTGAGGCTGCTGACAAACTCTCGACAAACCTGTTCCGATTTTCATTAGCCCCCTAAAGTCAATTAGTGATGGTAGCAGCTTCCTCCAGCCATCATCTTGTTGTATTTACATAGACACCAACATTTGTCCAGGTTGAGTGTTTGGGTTTGTGAAAACAGTGACTGTTAGGTGAAAAGGGCTGGTTAGATTCTGTTTGAATGGTGGCTGACCACTCTCTTATGACTATGGGCACATTTATTTATTTATTTCAGGTAATTACATAGCACCATCACTTTAAATATATACTATATAAATGTTACATTTACATCAGTCCCTACCCTCAAGGAGCTTAAGGTCCCTAACTCACATACATACACATACTAGGGCCAATTTAGACAGGAGCCAATTAACCTACCAGCATGTCTTTGAAGTATGGTAGGAAACCCACGAAGGCACAGGGAGAACATTCATACTCCGGGCAGGTAGTATCATGGTTGGGATTTAAACTAGCGATCATAGTGCTCCTAGGTGGAAATACTTAGCCACTGTGCTGCCATTTATATTATGACAATGGCTTTAGTGATTATGGTAACCCGATGGTGTCCCACCAGCATTTTTTAAGCTCTGTATCTATTACATTGCAGTACATAAGAATACAGCTGTATGCTGCTGGAAATATTCCTCTGTTACAAAGCATGTGAATTCTGTTTTTAAAATGTTGGATGTATACCTAACTATGGACAGGAGTAATATAGGATCCACTGAAGACATCATTACACGCTAGTAGAAATTAATGTGTAAAAAACATAAAACAAACAACACTTTAGGGGGTTATCTGCTTTCTTTAACAATGTGAAAAATCCTAGTATGTTTTCCTTTCAGAAGCCATGCTATGGTAACTAATGTGCCAGGCTCTGTGGTCTAGAAATGATTATGCTAAAATAAAACAGAGCCCAAAAATCTCCCTAACGTCTTACCTGTTCCTTACTGTTAAAAAAGATCTATAGGCACACCAAATGTACAATTTCAATTTTAAAATTAGCATTGTAATGGTATACAAACAATATTTATTTTTCAGAGAATAATAAGTGAGCGCTTTCAATGTACAAGCAGCTAAGGCACACAGGACAACCAAAAAAAAAATCCTCACATAAAAATAAAATAAAATAAAAGTGCAGCGCTAAAAAATATATATATAAATGTGACACGATACTGGTTCTTTCTCTGAAGATGTGCTTGGCACGTAACGTGTAAGGAGGAGCCTATGCACGCCTTGACGTCACGCCGTTGGAGCATCGTGGAGCTCCGGCGGCCACTACATCCGACAGGACGGTTAGTCCTGTCTGTCTTTTGTTTTGCCACTTGTACTGGATGCATCCTGCCTATTTTAATAAATACATTTTAAACTTTACTTCACTATGGGCATTTTTTCTTGATCCCCTGTGGGGAGCACCTTTTTTCCCAGATATCGTTTGTGCACAGTGGAGGAGCAGTGCTTTTTTTGGTGGAGCAGCGATCGTTTTCTACCATCTAGTGGATTTCTTCTGCCCAGCTCTGTACCATCGTGTGGACCTTCACTGACTAAGGGAATACATCCACCCTTCCCATGCTGATGACTTCTCTATAAACTCCATCCTTCCTACACTGCACTTTTAATGTGCACTTCTGGTTAGTGTGCATTGTTACCCTAGGTCACCGTTGTTGGGACTTTTCTCTGATCACTTTTACATATCGTGTCACATTTATATATTTTTTAGCGCTGCACTTTTATTTTATTAATATTTTTTTTTCACATTTCAATATAAGCTTACTTCAAAAATCTCCTTTCATGTTGTGAATGCAGCCTGCCTGCCAACTATCTCTTCCCATGACTTCCCGAATTCCCTGCATGCTTTGCAGCTTCTCTTCTGCTGTTTATGTTTAGTTTATAAGGACTACATATCCCATGGTACCTTGCTCCCTGTAAGCAGTGATTCCTGTGCTGATTCCGTCCCCTGCAACTCCTCCTCTCCTCTGTAGTTCAGAAGACAAGCTCTGTGAAATGTGTGACACAGCAGTGCCTACCCACAGGGCATAGTGATTACGTGTCACAAAATTCGGGGGAGTAAATGTGTGGAAATCTTCACAAAGCAAGTTTACAAACATCAAGATTGTTTAGAACAGGGGTGTCAAACTGGTGTCCCTTCAGCTGTTGCAAAACTACAAGTCCCATCATGCCTCTGCCTTTGGGAGTCATGCTTGTAACTTTCAATCTTGCAATGCCTCATGGGACTTGTAGTTTGGCAACAGCTGGAGGGCCGCCAGTTTGACACCCGTGGTTTAGAATGTTAGGAGTAGGCTACAAGTAATTCAAATGTGAAAATGAATATATGATTTTACATTTGACCATAGACACTCTAACCAAACACTTAACCCTTCTTTGACTAGAACCCAAAACACATGATGCTACGAACACTTAATCTAAAACTAACACTTTATTTAGCCTAAGGTAGCCCCACAGGACCATGCTTTGCTTTTTGGGCACCTAAAATATCAACACTAACGTTATCATGCTTTGGCACAGTAAGACCTAATATTCTTGGGAAATCCTACATAAAGTATACAGTATCTATAGCTAAAACTTTTTTTTTGGCTGGAAAAAACACCAAATGCGCATAAACGCTATTTAAGCTAACACATTTAGCTGCATTCGCACATTTGCATGTAATTGCATTCTAATAGACAGAATAGATTAATATTCATGCCAACAGAATGCATTGACATCAAACATGTGAACACACATAAACACACATGCCAAATGCAGCTTGCAGGTACATTTTTCAGCTGTGTTTTTCTCCCCTGGAGCAAAGGGCAGCACAGTGGCTTAATGGTTAGCACTTCTGTCTGGCAGTACTATGTTCACTAGTTTGAATCCCAACCACAGCACCACCTGCTTGGAGTTTGAATGTTCTCCCTGTGCCTGCGTGGGTTTTCTCCAGTTTCCTCCCACCCTTCAAAAACATGCTGGTAGGTTAATTGGCTCCTGGCTAAATTGTAAAGCATTGCATAAATTGACAGCACTATATAAATACCTGAAATAAATAAGGCATCCAGGGAAGGAAAAAACGTCCTGTGTGCATGAGTCCTAAATAAGGAGTGCTTATCAGTTCTGATGCTATGCTGCAACAGGCTCACTACTGCTTTTATGAGAAAGACTAAAGATAATTGGAAGTCCAAACATGGAGAATCTCACCAGTCATCATCAGGCAACAAGTGACTGTTTTTTCACATTATTGAAGAAAGTGGAAATTCCTTTTAATTCTGTTAAGTGCCGATGAATACATTTTTTGTTTTAAGCATTTTTTTTCTAATGTCTGGGAGTGTAAACATGTACTGTATATTCCTTGGATGTAGTTTTGTAGAGCTATTTTCAGTAAAGAAACACATTGCCTAAACAATACCTGTTTTCAAGTCTACAGAATGTTTGTTTGATTTGTCAGATATACCTGATGCACCACTAGCTCCTGATGTGACTGAGGTTGGAGAGGACTGGTGTACTATGAAATGGGACCCACCATTATATGACGGTGGATGCCCTATTACGGGTAAGTAAATTTATAATCTCAAAGTGATACATGTTGCCTTCATTCTGTTACATAAAAAACACTATAGCAATTACTACATTTCTGAAGAAACAGTGGTAAAACGTATTTTTGTAGGAACATTCCCTTAGTTTGTTCTGTCTACTAGGGAAAGTGAGTATATAGTGGTGAGGAGGTGGCATTTAAGTGAAACTGTTCCTTTGCCCTTCACAAGTAAAGACAAGATTCACTTTAAAGAACAAGTGCAAATCAGGCTAGGATAAAGCTTACAACTTTCCAGTTAGCTAGGACAGCATGGGGGGCGGGTGGCTACTAATGCAAAATGTATTTCTTTGCCTCCCAACTGCAGCAAATGTCAGGATAAGGGATTTTGAAAGTGGTCTCGGCTGTACTTCCATTGAACCCTTCATTCCTCTTCTAGAGGCTGGTCACTTGCAAAAAGGATCTGTCTTCTGAACGCTCACAAAGTACCACAAAATCTGGGAAGTTATGAAGATGACTATCTATGGAGATGAATATATGGAGTTTTCCAAATATATGACTCAGTCTTTGGCATAACATTTCCCTACCAGAATTTATGAACCTTAAGAGCTTTGAACAATGGCTAGTAGCAGGGTTAATATTTCTGTGCCAAGTATTTCAGAGAAATCACAATAAGTCCTTTCAGAAACTCTAAGAGGACTTGCTATTTCCAATACCTACAGTTGTGTTACACATTTCAAACCCAAATATGCATGCACTACTACACTTTTCTACCCCTGCTTTCCACTGAACTCAATGATAACACAAGTGATTGGGACCAGACTTACCTTTAGCTTTCCAGCCTCATTAGGCTATTACAGGTGATGTGAGATCTAGACAGGACATAGATACTTTTTCTGCGGAAAAATGGATGAATGCTTGTTTCACTGAGCTCCTTTTCTCTGTTACAAAAGATGATAAGGGGATAAGTTTCATCTCCTCACTGTACAAGATGTGATAGGAAAACATAAACTCTTATTCATATGATGTGGAGATGTCTAAAATGTTTTGGGAAGCTATATTTAAATCTATACATTTGCTTTTCTCCTTTTCCCTACTGGTCAATCCCAAGATCATGTGCATACTGCCTAATTTATATAGTTCCAGATCATAATAAATGATCTATAAGTAAAATATTGTTTTTTGCCTGCAAACTAAGCCCAAAAATGGATCTCTCGTGTGCCGCCCACATATGACCACTGATCAACTCTCTCTCGGGAAGATATAGCTCAGTAATCATCACAGGGGATGCCTACAAAAAGATGTAGGCTGCATGGTTAAGTTCCCCAGCTATGACTACCTGTAGTATTATCCAGCTCCTTTGAGGGGTTACAAAGGAGTGTCTTGGTTATCATTGCAACAGATGAAGGTGAATCACACCATATAAATAAGTTAAACAATGCTTTTTATTTCTCAGTATTTTATGAACAACTCTCAGTATTTATGATCGTATCTTTGTCAATGACCTTTGAGGTTATGTGCTAAAGACGTGGCAACTATACTTGCTTCATAGCAAACAGCTATAAAGTTTATGGTGTCCTTACTCCATGCTTCCCTTTAAAGTGGTCGTAAAGCTAGAAGGTTTTTTCCTTGATGCAAACTATGCATTAATGTAAAAAACCTTCTGTGGTCTGCTCTCCTTATACTTACCTGAGCCCGATCTCGATCTAGCAATGTGCACGAGTGGCTCTCTCAGCTCTCTCCCTCTTTATTGGCTTAGCAAGTGGCAAAACCATTGCACAGAGCAGGTAAGTATGATTTCTTTGTTATTTTATAAAAAAATAATAATTGAAGGTTTAAAATCACTTTAAAACATACCCCTTGCAAAAAGACAACATTATAAGCTGTTCTAGTGCACATACCCTGTTTGCCTTACTTCCCTGATATTAGTTAACCCCCCCCCCCCCAGAGATCCACAGACGCATACCTACCTCAATCCAATGTCTGCAGCTCTACTGTTTGTTTACATCTGGCCCCACCAAGGTAAATATGCATCTGTGATGGAGGTGGATGGACTAGGTCAGGAGAAGGGAGAAAAAAGGATAAGTGCACTTTGTAGTATGTAAATAAATTAAAGAAATATGCAATTAAGGTATTATTTAATAAACTACTGAAATCAGTCCTGAAACTTCACCAAAGGGTGGCAATTAAAACCTAGTAATCATGAATATACTGTAACTATTTGCCAGTATCATAGTCACAACGTATAAATATATCTTTTTGTTTATGCTTACATTTACAGGGTACTTTATTGAAAGAAAAAAGAAGCAGAGCTCCAGGTGGATGAGATTAAATTTTGACTTATGTAAGGATACCTTTTTTGAACCCAAAAAAATGATTGAAGGTGTGGCTTATGAGGTCCGGGTTTTTGCTGTCAACTCAATAGGGATTTCTAAACCAAGCCTGCCCTCCAAACCTTTTGTCCCACTAGGTAAGTAAATGTTAGACTACAAGTCAGTAGGCATAGGTTCTTGTTACTGGGTGTGTAAATGTTAGAAGAATGTATAATTATGTTTATAGCATAAATTATTTGTTTAAATATATTTTTACACAGCTGATGATTTTACTGTGGTACTTTGGTCCTGCTGTATTTAATCTATATGTGAGTGATATAACTAAAGGGTTGGTGGAAAAGGCATGCCTTTTTGCTGATGATACAAGGTATGAAATAGGATTGATACACCCTGGAGGTGTCTGTAACATGGAACATGATTTGGCATTGCTGGAAGAATAGCCAAAGCAGTGGAAACTGCAGTTTAGTGTTTCCAAATGTAAAATAGTGCACCTATTGAAAAAGAATGCCTGCATAGCGTACAATATTAAGGACACAGTGTTAGCCAGAACTACAGAGGAAAAAGATTTGGAAGTACTTATTTCAGATGATTGCAAAATGAGCAGTGTGGGCAGGAGGTGGGAAAGGTGAATAAAATTCTAGGTTGTATCACAGAAGAAAGGAGGCCTGATTCCCCTATATAGATCTTTATTTAGACCTCAATTAAAATACTGTGTCCAATTTCGGAGACATCACTTACAAAAAGATATTGAAAAGATAGAACAAGACAGGCAACAAACATGGTGAAAGGCCTGAGGAGTAAAACAGATCAGAAGAGACTTCAGGAACTTATTATGTACAATCTGCAGGAAAAAATGGAAAGCGGAGACATCACTGAAATCTTTACATACTTTGAAGGGCTTAATAAAGTTCAGAAGGGCAGCATTTTCAATATGAAACCAAGATCAAGAACATGTGGACATGACCTCAAACTAGTAGGAAGAAAGTTCAAAACTAACCTTAGAAATTATTATTTACCAAAATAATATTTGATGCTTGGAATGAACTACTAGCCGAGGTAGTGAGTCAGCTGACAGTAAATGGATTCAAACATCAAAGTTAAAAAAAAGATGGGGCACTCTTGATGGACCACTGCTGTCACTTTTCTATGTTTCAATACTTTACAGCATCACATTTGCACAACAATGCAGTTTTATGGTTTGAGATGTCATGTTACGGACAGTAGATGAGCAGTGCAGTAGACAAGATCATGATTAAGTCCACCAACTTTATTGGTGGAAAAGACTATCAGGCAATTTAGAAATAATTGGTAGTTTGCTTAATGTTCCATGAAATAAGATCTGTAACAGTTGTGTCTGCTATTTACATAAAGGTGAAAAATAATTAATCGGACCTGTTTAGTTAATGGATGTTCACCTACAGTTCAACTGCCTTCCAATTCTGCTCCTTTTTATTTAATCATATTGTTTATTAATTTACTTTTCTTTCCTCTAGCTGTCACAAGTGCACCAACCATGATGACCGTAGATGGAGTAACTGATACCACAGTGACAATGAAATGGAGACCCCCTGACCACATTGGTGCTGCAGGGTTAGATGGTTATGTTATTGAGTACTGCTTTGAAGGAGGTAAACATTCAGAAATCATGTCCCTAGCCTCTACTTTTTGTCTAATCCTCATTTGCTTAACAATAATGAACCTAACAATAAACAGTACTGAATGCTGTCATGCTTTATTCATGTCACGATTTATAGTTTAAAATCTGGGTTTCAAATGTTTCTTTTTCTAATGTTTAAGAATGAGCTTTGGATATAAACAATTGGTAGCCATTCAGATTAACACGTCCATGAGCATTACTACTGCCTGTTGGATCCAAACCAAGAATGTTGCAGTCTTGTCAATGCAGTGACATAAAGATATTTATTGCTGTCTTTGTACATTGGTGTTGTGCATGTAGAAAATTCTGATTTGGATCTGGACTGGAAATGACAAGAACGTTGATATATAAAACATTCCAAACCACATATATGCTATCATATCAATATACTGACAGCACAACCAATTTATAGCTACACATACTAGAATATATTTAAACTGTAAATTTGGTTAATTAAATTAAGTAGATTTTATAGGTGATACGCACTTCATAAAAGATCATGTCGACTCACAGATGTCAGACACACCAACCCAAGAATTCCAGACTGTGGGTATAATCCTGGCAACAGAAGTTGTAGCATGAACTATTAAAATGACTTTGTATTTTTCCTTAAGCTGCTAAATCAAAGTCTCCCCTCTCCCCAAAGATACTTTGCACCATAAGATGCCAAACTGCACCTTTATGATCATTGTTGTGCTTCTAGCATCTTTACACCCTTCAAATGTGCTTATGCAAATAATGGGTTTCTCAGAATCAATATTTGCATAGATGTGTTATGTACCCACCTTCTATATGTTAGAAATTGGAGCTGGTGGTAGGTTCCACAGACTATTAAGTAGGTGAAATGGTGGTGGTGACACACCTACCCACACCCCAAAAGTTTGAGTATTTGTTTAGGTTTCAAGGGCTTTGTGCGGAGCAGAGCATTGATCTTTGGTGATCGTAATTCAGGGATGGAGCTTGCTATAGCAGCTTTGGGCACATTGCAGGGTCAATTTAAAGCTTTACACTCAATAACACTGCAACTTATTGCATTGACCCATAGATTACATTTTTATGGATCTCTATGCATATATGTTTCAATTGAGTAAGCACTGAAATCTTACTATATATATTTTTTACACATTTCTACTGATTTTACCAAAAGCCCATATAGAAACATTCCTTTTTTACCTACATACTGTATGTCACTAAATTAATGCATTCACCACAGGTATACAACACCAATTGCATTTTGTGAGTTGTGACTATTGACATAAACTTTGTATCCACTAGGAAACACAGTAAAGGTAAATTACTATATTGCAAAGTTAGCAAAAAAAAAGCTGTAAGGAAACTCTGACAAGAACTACTGGGAACTTGCAATGCTAAATTTTAGCTCTGCACTATTCAGTTAGTATTACCATATGACTTCTACCACATACATATTTAATTTTATACAGTTAAAAATTATATATAAACTTCTTTCCAAACACATTACTTTGAAGTGCAGCAAGAGGCCTTCACATTTTATACCTTACTAAACTAAGCACGTGGAACATTAGCATCAATATATTTGCACTGGTGTGAATGCCTGAATTAATGGTAGGGTAGATTAACATTGTTTGGTGTGTACATACCAAGTAAAAACTAATGCAAAGGTGAGATACAAATGCAGCCCCAGACCTGATTTGTGAAAGCAGTATTTCTGAGGTTGGTGCATCTTCACCAGGAGGAAATGAGAAGCACGAAAAACCTGAATTTACAGATGTGGAGAAAGATATGTTAGTTGATTGTGTGTCTAAGAATGGCCCAAGCATCTGTGGTGCTCTGTCTGCTAAAACTACCAAAGCTGAGAAGAGTAAGATATGGGCAGACATCCAAGCCAAAGTTAATGCCACAGGGGGCAAGAACAGGTCCATTGCAGACCTAAAAAAACAATGGAATGCACTCAAAAAGCATACCAAGGACAAACTGCAACAAAATAAAAAAGACGTTATTGTGGAAAATGGAGATGTGCCTGAATCTGGATCAAATCTGACTACTTTGGAGAAACGCGTGGAGGCCATGTTGGAACTTCAGCAGTTGGAGGGAACTCCTGGAGATGAAGAAGATATCCAAGATGATGTTACTGGAGGTAAAACTTCATTTAAAATGTACAACCTTATTTAGATTATATCGATATAAAGCAAGGTATAGTGAAAAACATCTGTGCTAGTTGTTATCCCCATCTTTTATCCACAATTCCAGCCACAACCACCTCATCGTGTGCTATAGTAATTTTTCTCTGTCCAGCTTCTTTTTTACCTCCATAATAAAAGCTTTAGGGCCTAATACAATTCTCTCCCAATTTTATTAATGCCTCTACAGTTTACTGTCATCCTGCCAGGAAGACTTTCATAATGTTCGATAGCCTATATTTAAGGAAAATCAATTAATAAGGATGAAGTCAGTCGTATAACCACTAATAAACCACCAGCAAGTCCAACTGAAGTCTCATAGTTTCGTTTTATATATAATCTTGTACCATTACATTATGATATTTAACTTACTTTGTCACAACCTTCAAATACCCTTGGCCCTTTTTGGAAATGTGCTTTCTGCCATTTGACTGCAGGGCTTTATGCTGGTAGAGATAAATGAAGGCTACACCCCTCATCACAAGCACCCTTTTTTAGATTTATGCTCTGAGGAAGAGACGGGTATGTCTGACCAATCAGGTAAAAATAACAGAGTGGACTAGGTCAAGCCCTGGTGCATATTAAACTGCGCAATCATATTAGACGCACAGTGGAAAGCTTCCACTAGCAGGAAAGAGGTAAAACATTGAAATTGGAGGCCGTTGGAATTATGTCTATCTAACCAAATATCTGTTTCTGTGGCTTCAGCTGTACTTTAATATAATGATATCTACATTATCCAAATGTAGATATGGTTGTTGTGTATTCTGTATGTACCCTCAATATATCAGTATATGATCAGTGGACAAACCTTGTAGTTTGCATTGCAAATTGTGAAGATTGTGAAGAAATCCATTTATGGTAGCTTCACTGTATTGCTGAAGAGGAAGAAAATGGCTAAATATTGTATTACCTTCCAAACCATATCACTATTCAAACTTAGAATCCCTCAATGAGTATCAGTTTGGTTATACAGTATATGGAAATACTATGAGCACAAGAGACTGAAAATATACCACCTTACATGACATTGAGGAGAAATAATCCTATAACTAAAGTTCAGGTTCTTGGGGTGATTGTCTCTTCACCCAACACAACACTTACTAAAGCTATGAGTATTATACATATAATACATACTTCACATAGGCATTGATTTACTGAAACTGGAGAGTGCAAAATCTGGTGCAGCTATACATGGTAGCCAATCAGCTTCTAACTTCAGCTTGTTCAATTAAGCTTTGACAAAAAAAACTGGAAGCTGATTGGTTTCTATGCAGAGTTGCACCAGATTTTGCACTCTTTAGTTTTAGTAAATCAACCCCATATTGTTCTTCATTTTAATGGGGTAACTATATAATACTACAGGTCAATGTTTTATATTTACCACTACCGACAACAAGTGGAAAGCTTTTGGTAAGCTTCAAGTTCTCCAAAGGCACTTTTTTAAAACTGTTGTGCTAAAATTGTATCCAATCAACTCTATGTAGGTACTGTCCCCTTCTAGCAGAGATGCACAATCTGTGCAGGGTATCAACAGCAAGCAGGCAGTACTTAAATTTCTCTGCATTCATAGGTCCTATTCAAACCACAGCAGGGTGCTCTGCAAAGCATGCATTTTTGTGAGTTTAGGTACATTACATAGACAGCCTACTTAGGTCCTGTTCAATTTTTCAAAACAATATTAATTTAGCCCTTTTCCATCAAGCTTTTAAAAACTAAAAATGAAAAGTTGAAATTTTAGTTTTCTGTACTGTTGTTTAGTACATATATTATGTGCAAATTATGTTTTTTTGGCCCCATAAGCATGTTTAAATTTCCATTCATCTGCGATTGCTCCATCTTCGGCAGGAGGAGCAGACACGTCGAAATGTTCAGATGAGGAATTGAATACTTTAGTGGATAAAATTGCCAAACTTGGGCCCCAACTCTTTGGAGCTCAAACCAACGCTGCAGATAAGGACAAAATGTGGGCAGATATACAAAAGCACATAAATACTGTAGGGGGCAATAACAAGTCAATCGAGGAAATAAAGAAAGCATGGAAAAATCTCAAACGACAAACAAAGAAAAAACTGGACCATAACAAAACACAGAAATTATTGGAAAGTAAAGGAGAAAAAGCAACATTGCTTGACTTGACACCAATAGAAAAGCGTGTGGAGGTTGTATTGCAAATCAAGAAATTGACTCTGAGGACTTCCATGAAGAACCAGATGAAGGTAACAAAAATATTCTCAAATTATTATGCGTGTGCTTCACCAGTCATAGTAAGAATCCCTTTGGTTTATAACCAAATGTTCGTTTTGCAAACTGTTCCAAATCTTTTGCAAAAATAACTAAATAAAGCAAGGGAAAATGCTGGTGTTGCTGATATAGCAGCCAATCTAAGTGTTCCCTTTTATTTTTTAATCTGCACAAGAAACCCAGAACTGGAAGATATAATGTGGCTGTTATGAGTATCACCTCTACTTCTCTTTGCAAAAGATTGTAACAACAGCCCCATTTCCTGTAATGTTTGTCAAAATTTGCTTCTTTGACTAGAGAAAATGCTAACTTCTCAGAATTATATTAAAACCCAACTCCTATTTTGTTTTGGATTACATGGGGAAAGGTTAGAGCCTCTGTCAGATTGTTACTGCTGCTTGTGTCCCCTTTCCTGTCAGGACAAGAAGTGATGTAACATATCTCCAAGAGAAACACATTTGAAAACAAAAAATATTTTTAGTAGACTGGGCAAGGGCCAGACCCAATTAAATTATTTTTTATTTTTGTGTGTGCCTTCTTATCCTGGTGGAAACCATACCATTCCATTTATTGTATGGGCATGATGGGGACAGGAAGTGAGGGAAAACCTACCCAACAGCATCACAGAGAGAAAAAATCCCTGGCAGAAATCCCTCTCACTTCCCCACTTTATCCAAAACTAAAAAATATTTTGGCTGGTACTAATGCTTCCTGCACAGTTAAGCAGCTGTATGACATAAATATATTACAGGAATCTGTATACCCAGTGCTGACATCATTGACAATTTTTAAGTTTAGGTGACAGAAACAATTGAGTACTGTCCGTGATACTTTTTTTATTTGCACTAACATACAATTTTGAGGACAAGCTTTCGGGGTATGTCCCCTTCTTCAAAGTCCAAGCAATACTGTACAAATCACAAAGTTTCAGCAGAATGTTAGAAGAGATGAAGAAAAAAAAAAGAGAGACTGGAGGTAAGATACAGCCAAAGCGAGGGGGGAGGGGGGGGGGGATACTACACTCACACAGAGGGAGTCAAGCTTCAGCTAATAGTCATAAAACTGTTGGATAATGAGTGAGGAATCCCATGTCCAAATTAAGGCCGTTATCTCTTGTGTCAAATAGAATTATCATTCTTAGTTCAAAAGTTTTTCTTTCCTGGATGGATTTGAAATTTCCTTTAAGAACTAAAATATTGAGGTCTCCCATTGTGTGGCCTGGTTTTGCGAAATGGTGTCCTACAGGTGTGTAGAGGTCATCTTCTTTATGTTTCTTGATGGTATGTCTGTGCAAATTCATCCTTGTTTGCAACTTCTGTCCTGTTTCGCCACCATAAGATCCTTTGCTGCATTTTCTGCACTGGATAAGGTACACAACATTACTGGAGGTGCAGCTGTATGAGCCAGAGATATTGAAGATCCCTTTTGAGTGTCTGACACTTTTTGATGGATTGATTTGGTTGCACAGTTTGCAGCGTTTCACAAGTTTAGGTGAAAATTGATAATTCAGCAATACTGCTTCACACTGGGTGTTTAAATTCCTAGAAACTACCTTCATTGTACTGTATGTCCTGCTCTTTTTCCCACTGTGCGCTTAGTAAAATGTGATTTTTTTTTTTGTAAATGATTGGTCATGTAATGCAATAACCTCATTACTTAAAATATTTGAGGAAGAATACACAGAAGGCCAGAAGCATATATACTACACATCAATGTTGTTTGTGAATTTGACATGAACCCATATCCAGTCAAAGATGTAAGCAGAATTTAATTATTCAGTCCTTCAAGTGATAACACAGGGATTTTATTCTGGGTTCGGCACTGGGTTGAATGAGCAATCTCTCTAACAGGAGCTGCATTTTCAGAGCACAGCAGGATGGACTCAGGAGGTTGCTAACAGTAGGCTTGGAAGCAGAAATTCTTCTCAATAATAATAACTCATTATATTGGCAGTTTTCAGAGGCTGCTGGGGAAAGAAAAAAATTTTGTATTTAAGTTGGAACTGCAGTTATACTTTAAACTGCAGAGTACATTTTAATTATTCAGTCCTCCATCAGGTTATAAGATATGGATTTAATTCATGACTCATGACTGCATTGGGCTGAACAAGCAATCTCTCTGGAGGGAGAAGAGTTTTCAGGGTACAGCAGGATGCACTCAGAGCCAGGTGGTTGCCGGCAATAGTGTTGGAAGCAGAAATTCTTTTCATTAATAATAACTCATCCATCAGCATTTATTTTTCGAAGCACTGGTAAATCAAAAAATGTTTAATTCCAAGTGGAAGTGCAGTTATACTTTAAAGTGCATGCACCTTAAACCCCTATCCAATAGTTTCATTTATATACATAAACCTTATTACATACAGTATAAATACATTTTGAAGAAGTTATTTGCAACTTGTAATGTTGAAGTTATCAGTTTCAGAATGACAAGAAATTACCAGTTCAAAGGAAATAAAAACCATAAGGAATGTGTATCACAAAAACTAATATTGGCCAGATTCTATTTCTTAGATGAAAAATACAGGTCAAAGATATTCCACAGTTGGGAAATACAGTTTCTGTGCAGTGAAAGGCAGTCTTTAAAGAATCCATAGACTGTAAGCTCCCAGGCAACAACGAGTATCACTTTCCAGTGAGTTAAAATGGAAAAGAACAAGTTTAGATATAAACGGGCTATAAGGATTACTTATAGAAATTATCAGGACTAGAGGAAATAAGGTGCACAAATAAGAATTGACTTCAATGCTCTTTTTACACATAGGATTTCATGGAAACTTTTATAATTTATCAAATCATCTTTAAAAAATTGACACCACATTGTGAACATAAACCTTGGCCAAGTTTTTAAACAAAAAAATCACAGAATATGAAGTCATTTAGAATTTTGAAGGGTCAGAGAGTAGGCCAACAAAGGTGAATATAGTTTGTGGTGACTTGGAGATAAAGTGTTTATTTTTTAATATATGGATTGAGATGGAATTGTCAGGAAGAATGAGTTAAGCTTTAGACACTTCTATACAAGGTCCTACATTAAAGTTAAAAATCATAATCCGCACAGTCATCAAATAATCTGATACGATCCCCACTAGAGAGCTACCCCATCATCCCTTGCAAATAACAAATACAATGGCTTTCATTCATTCCTATGTTGTAAAAAACACAGCCTTCATTTGCTTTTGCTTGCTTTTTCTCTTTAAATGTATATGTGATTTGTGAAGCATTTTAAATCCAAACATTGGCCAAAAAAAATTTAATTTCATTCCTGGTAAATGTGAAGTCCCAAAAGAACAAGACTATTGTTTATGGATACTGGTGAACTTCACAGAGAAGAAAAGGGATATAATGTGCGAAGCTCTCTATGGATAATGCTGCAAGAAAATTGGACATAATTGTAAATCTCTGCCTTTTTTATCCATTGGATTTCTCCAAATGAGAGTCAAGATGGACAATATGGACAAGGACTATTTTATACTGGTTATAGGAACCAAGATGTCAAGACTGTTTCTAAGATCATCATCATACACTTTACATCCTAATATCCAAACAATCATCCTTATTGAGTATTGCCTTGAGTCATTTCAAATAGATAAGAGTTTACATTTGCATAGTATTTGGTCAAACCTAAAAAGTAAACAGGTCTTGTTATATAAAGCAATGATACATCTCTAATCACATATCCTCTAACAAGTCATCATTAAATAGACCTGCTACATGACAAACCTTGATGTTTTTCACAAGGATACAGATGGACCGTATCATTTTAGTTCGATTAGATTTGCTAGAAGTTAGGTTTTGGAAGTCCAAACAGATCTGTACAATGTAAGTATTGCTCTGTATAATCTTACACGTCTTGTTAATCATTGGCCAATTTGCTTTTCCATTCTACCTGATAAAATCCACAATTTTCTGTCATAAATTGTTTCATTAATACGAAATGTTTTCAACATACAAGAAAATTTCCAGTCAAAATTGATCTGTTGTACATGGTTGTCAACAAACTGGATTACATGCTGGCTTTTTATATCATGCTTAAGTGAAGAAATGCTCTCACCTGAATTCCTATTAGTGTCCAACTGCAGTGGCCATTACACATCCAAAGATGGTGTCAGTCTCTGTCAATAGATTCTTAATTATTTTGATTAAATAACTGGGTAACCCATTATTGAAAGACACTGTTGTGCTGTAGGAGGTGTCAGAGACAGTAATTACTGGGTTCTATGAAATATATAAGAAGTCAGCAGATGATTCAAGCCACTGAAATATTAGTTTTGGTCAAACAGGTCTTTAAGTACAAAAGACAATTATTAAATGTAACTAACCTATTTTGGTCAGAGGTAGATGAATCACCAATAATTTGATTTGCAAACAAATACAAAATGCATTAAACCAGAGATAGGTTATATTTTTAAAATCATTATCATAGGTTATTTTTCATATACCAGTGGTATGCACTTCTGTGCTTCTACAAAATACACTAATTTCAACTTGGTACCCCCATTAAATCAACCCTGGCAATGGACATATAACACTTAGTTTTGTGAAAAGCTAACCATAGGAATAATGATGTCAGTTCTATCATCAAACTCTGTATCCTGCAATATTTATTATTTGTGTGCATTATTACCATTGCTGTTTTTCTTTTAGCGGAGGAATGGATAGTAGCAAATCCTGAACTGACAGATAAGACAAGGTTCACAATTACTGGGCTGCCAACAGGTTCTAAAATATTTGTCAGAGTTAAAGCAGTGAACGCTGCAGGTCAGAGTGAGCCCAAACTACATCCCCAACCAATCTTAGTAAAGGAGGTCATAGGTAAGTTTCATCTGTTTGTTAAGTGCATTGAATCTTATCTTCTGTTATTTTTTTCTTTTACATTATTTTTATTGAAAAATAAAGGCAAATGGCATACAAAAGACAGAGATGGGGTGCAATAATGAATATGAGGGTAAGCATCAAAACAGAGTGGGGGCTGGTGCTTTTATAACATGTTACATGTTACATCCTGAATATGGGTGTAACATATTATGAAAGGAGAACTTATCCTTTAAATTGTCTGGTCTGTTAAATTATGAGACAGTACATGTTGAGTTTCCCCACAGGTAAAACAGAAGGGAATGGCTATGCATTTATTTTGTACATTTTGACATTTTACAGCTCTAAATTAAACTCTGGAGAGAAAGAATGTACCCTTGCAGCAGGTTCCCCTCCCCGGCCCACACACACACTACAAGTTTTAACTGTTTGCTTTGCCTGGGGGATGAAGAATAAGGTGATATACCTTATTTCTCATTCCCTCAGGCTTTATCCTCTTTGTGCAGCTGCTCCCCCAGTCGCAGGCTTTTGATGTTACCCCATACAATTCAGGACCAGAAGTCCTTTAGGTGTGGGAGGATGCTGAGTGCCCGTCCACATTCCAGATCATAGGCTAGTTGAGTCTAGTTGAGGAGAGCACCAACTGCCAAAGGGGCAAGGTATAAAATAAGTATATCACTTTATTCACAATCCCCTAGGCAAAATTAGCAGTTAACCCTTAAAGCATTGACACAGACCCATGCAGGGGTAAATCTTTCTTTTTTCCATGAGTTCAACTTTAAATGAGAAAACTGGCCAAATTCATCCAACTAAGTCTATGTTTGGATATGCTCATTTTCAAAAGCAGGGAATTTGTAATTTGTCAAGTCAAACATTTGTTTTTTGGATAGAGTAGGGAATAAACACCTACCAAATTTGTTTGCTGTGTTTAACATGTTGGGGAAGATTTCCATTTATTTTCCATTGAGAAAACAGAACATAAAGTAAATGGAAATCTCAACAAAGTGTGGATTAAAATCCTCTTAGACAGTTGTCAGTGGAACATCTGGTCCCACTGGAAAACATCCCCTCTATTCAAGTCCTAGTGACAACTATAAAATTTTGGGTGTCCCATGACTTTCTGTCCCAGTGACAATGGTCACTGGGACAAACAGAGAGTGTGAATGTGCACAGTGTAAACATGGACAACAATTAAAACCTAATGGGAGTTCTAACCTTTCTACACTTTATCTAAAACTACAAATAGTTTGGGTTTCAGATATTCCTTAAAGCGATACAAAACATTCATTTTCTTTTGTAAAGTAACAAACATACAGTATTATACTTATCTGCTGTGTGCAGTGGTCAGAGCAGCCTGGATCCTCCTCCTCTCAGGTCCCCCGCAGGCTCTCCTGGCTCCTCCTTTGTGTTTGGTGCCCCAACAGCATGCAGCTTGCTATGGGGGCACCCTCTGCTCCATGTGTCCATTCACACACAGAGCTGCGGCTTGGCCCGCTGCCTCTCACTCCGCCTCCGCTCTCTCCTCATTAGCTGACTGGCTGTGATTGACAGCAATGGCTCCCGCTTGCTGTCTCAGCCAATGAGAAGGCAAAGACCTGGGACAGCCAAGGCTGTCATGTACATCGGTGGATCTCCATGGGGCTCAGGTAAGTATTGAGAGGGTTGGGGGCACTGCAGTACACAGAAGGTTTTTTACCTTCATGCAAAGAATGCATGAAGGTAAAAAACCTCCAGCCTTTACAACCACTTTATATACAACGTATCTGTGAAGGTAACATACATCTATTTGTATTCACCATGGTAAAGGCGGAGGCTGAGAATTACAGTAAATAAACCTTAACTTGCTTAAGTTGCTTCAGAAAGATCTGGCTCTATGTCTTGCTGACTCCCCCCACATGAAATCAGAATTAAGTTTTGGCTAAAACCAATATGAGAACAAATTTAGACTAATAACTTGCTTCCCAGAATTTCTAAAATAGACATCAACATTTCATGCTCTAATCAATTTTTTTATGAAAGGATACAACATACAGCATTTAGCATACAAATCGTGAAGCCTCTCATAACTGTATTTAAAAAAGTGATTTTATTGTTTAATTTCAGTACCTCCAAAGATTCGTCTTCCACGACACCTAAAACAAACTTACATTCGAAAAGTTGGAGAAGCTGTAAATCTTGTAATACCCTTTCAGGTAACAACTGTGCCATAAACTCATGAGACCTCTTGCTTTCAGATGAAAATGTTTATATTTTTCTCTTTTCTTAAGCCTTAAGTGTTTTGGTAGAGTATATGACTATAACGAATCTTAAAAAATGAATGGTCTCTCTGAAAACACCTTACAGTAGAGACTTTACCAAATTATACAATATAATATTACTACGAGGGGTGTTCAAGTCCAACCAGGACTTTTGAGTTTATATAATAAAAGAACAAATGTCAAGGAGTGGAAACTGCATTTATTTTTCAACATACTCACCTTCTACATTTATACACTTATCCCAGCATTTAACTAATGCTTGGAAAGCTTTGGCATAGAAAGATTTGTCAGTAAGCCTGAACCATCCACGGACAGCCTGCTTCCCTTCATCATGATTGTGGTCACCGTTCCCACAGAAAGATGAATCTTTTGTGCAATTTTATGACAGGTGTCGATTATCCAGGATCAGGCATTCCACACACTGAATGTTCACAGGAATGACTGCTGTGGGCTGGGAACCACCACAGCAGGAATGCTCAGTGATAGGCATATGGCCATCTTTGAAACATTTACGCTATTCAGTGTCTCATCACCATACTGTGCTTGAAGTCTTCTGTAGATACCTGCAGGCTTTATGCCTTCGTTCACAAGAAACTTCATCACCACACGCTGTTCCATGCACTCACTAACACTGTTGTCTGCCATTTTGATTAACGGTCTCTGGACTGTGGCCCATTATATGTGCACCACCTATCAGTAATAGGACATACTTGCCACTCATTACTGCAGGTAGTAGAACCATGCTAGCATTCCTTTTTATACCGGCAAACTTAAAAGTCACGGTTTGACTTGAACACCTCTTGTACAATTGTATAAGTGCATATACCAAGCTATATTTTATTTTTAAAAAAGCACACTATTATTAAAAACAGCTATAACCCTCACAGGGTCCTGTACTCAGTATACAATACCAGGGCCCTGTGCACTTCACACACCTCCCTGCCAACCTGGCACTGGGTACCAAACACAGAACTGCCAGGACTCAACAACTGATGCAACTTCTTCTGGAAAAACAACATATTTTGCAATATTTAGACAAACATGTCTTGAGAAATTTACATCTTCTGATTTATACCCACATTATATATTAAGACAGCTGCTTCAAACATCAGGGCAAACTCTAGGATATATTCTTGGTTTGCCCAGTCCTTGCTCCTTTCTGGTTGGCTTTCCAATAAATATGCCACAAATAAACAGGAGTGCCCCTCAGTAATGTTCCTATGACATTTCTGCTTCATCTTAACCATCTTTCTATCAAACAATACAAGAACTCACTTTTAAACCACATAATGAACGCATCCAAAGTGTGCATTCCTATCCTCTCAAAGTAGAGACCTCTCCATCGACTCTGTCTAAGTAGCTTTCCAGGTCATCAACCTCGTGTGAATGGAGAACCTGACCACTTCTCTACACCACATAGAAAAAGATAAAAACAACTTAGTTCTACTAGCAAGACTCCTGCAATGCAATGCACTGCAGTATAGCTCTCATCTTAAGCTTCAGTTCCTTCTTCTTTTACAACATGGCGCTATAGACATTTGCAATGTTGTGTTCCATTTCCTTTTAGGCTGAAGATATCAGGTTCCTAACCCCCAACCCCCCCCCCCTCCCCCCACCACCACCACCACCAAAACACGCACTAAAAAAAATTTTTTTGTCTCTTCTTTTTTTTTTCCTCTTTCCCATTATTAATATTGTACATGAACTGTCCTTTGTACTATTGATAAAAAGAGATCTATAAGTTGTCAGCACCCTTCTGGACTTTGATGGTCTATTTGGTATGCAAGGACACCTGTTCACATATTTTGATGATCAGTCCTCTTGTTTGAAAGTTACTGTATTTTTCTTATGCATGGACATTGTGTATTATATCCAGAAATCAGTGTTGTACTTTCTGTCTGCTTCATGTTCATTTGCTGAGCGGTGATCTATTAATGTTTCTTTTTGGCTCTATGACTATTTCTCCAAATAAATAGTATACTTTAAAGAAAAAATACATATTTACAAATACATATACTAGAGGTCAGTATTAAGGTTTTTTTTTATATTTATAGGTGTGTAAAAAAGACAAAATGACATTATATGTCTTTTTTTCTTTTTTTTTTTTTTTTTTTTTGCACACATGTTAACATGCACATTTTATGGCTGAAAAATTACTTAAAACCACCAAAACATTAATTATTTTCTGAAAGTAGAGACCCTCTAGAATAAAATAGTGGCAGTTGCAATTTTTTTAGGTCTCACAATATTTGCGCTACAGTTTATCAAATCTATATTTATAGTAAAAAATGTAATCAAATTAATTTTAGTTCCCACATGCACTAAATAATACCCAATATTTTTTTGTAAAATCTAAAGGATGGGGTCATACACAAAATATGTCAAGCCTCCAAATTATGTGCCATGCAACAGCAAAAAAAAGAACAGAAATGTTCAAATGCAAAAACTTTAAAAGACTTTACAGCCCATCATTTTAGGGTGAACAATAAAACAATGCCTTATGAATTATTGCTCTCACTTTAGTATGTGTGGTGACACTTAAAAGTTAAAGTTACGCTTACCCTCTGCCTCCCTCATCCCCTACCATTACTTGCATTTTTTTTCTGGGAGTCAGTACCTTTTGCGTACAGGTACCCCCTGCCACTTTTGCAATTCTCACCTAGGCGCATTACAAAAGTTCGCCCTTCTTCCCCTGCAAGTAACCTCCTAGCAAGAGGATACAGGACCAGTGTTAAAGTGCAGCAGAAAGTCATAGCTGCCTTCCACAGTCAAGATGGTGGCACTGGGGATCCAGAGACTGGCAAAAAAACAGGCCTGGTGAAGACAGCGATGGACTCCTGGACTTGTGTGTACAGTACCTGTTTACTAAAACTCAGCTGCTAATTTTTATTTTTTAATGAAACCATAAATCCTCTTTAATATGTGTGGAAATTGCTATTTCTGTATGCATGCACAGCCCTGATAGTTTTTATATATATTTTTTTGTTTTAATTACTGGCCCTTCTCACATATGTAATCTTCAATTTTTTTGCTGGAAAAATCACTTAGACCTCCTAGTAGATGAGCATTTTCTGAAATACTCAGACCAACCTGTCTGGCACCATCAACCATGCCACGTTCAAAGTCATTTAAATTCTCTTTCTTTAACATTCTGATGCTCGGTTTGAACTTCAGCAAGTCGTCTTTACCTCATCTAGATGGCTAAATGCATTGAGTTGCTGCCATGTGATTGGTTGACTAGCAATTTGTGTTACCAAGCAGTTGAACAGGTGTACCTAATAAAGTGTCCAGTAAGTGTATATATATTAGCAGAGGCTCTAGAGAATAAAATGGAGGGTGTTGCCATTTTTCTATGTCACGAGTTATTTGCACAGTGGCTTTTCAAGCACAATTTTTTTAAATAAATTAAATAAATTCATTTAATTGCATACAAACACTATATAATACTTAATTATTAGATGATATTATGCTGTGTAAATAGATACTTAACATTTAAGCTTTAAAATTGTATATGCTCGTGGAACAACACCAAACTATATTCTGAGGAAAGGCTAGCTATGTGGTTGGACAGGAAACCCCCCCGCGGCCATTCACCAATGCAGCTAGCCAGGAAATACTGCATTGACAGCCAACACTTATCTTTGGTTTTAAGCACTTTTCCAAGAGAAGCATAAGCAAGAAATGCAGAGGGACAGAAATCTGACCCCCCCCGCAAACCAGATTAAACATTATCTTACTATATACATTTTTGCAAACAGATATTTTTTTCCTGAGTGCCATTTACCAGCTTGGTGTTCATTGCTCCCACAATAGAGCTTTAAAGTGACCCTGTGGTCATACTGAATATCTAGCAAAAAGAGCGCTTTAGAAAAAAAGACAACATATATATATTTACATCTCCTGCAGCTCGTGATTCCTGCCTTTCCTCTGTCACAGCACTATAGCTTCCACCAGTCTGTACAACATTCAACACTTCAAGAAGTGTTGGATGCCTGTGCTCTTGCCTTGTGCAAAGGTTCCTTTCTCTGACTGAAGAAATTGCCTTTCCTTGAACTGATTACATTAAAAAACAGAAAACTAGCTACAGTTTGTTAGTATCTCTGTCTATTTCATTTTACTATAATACTAAGGCTACCAAGTCATTTTCTTAAACCTTTTTTTTCTAAGGGAAGACCCAGACCCAAAGTATCTTGGAAAAAGAATGGATCACATGTGGACAAAACACAAATAAGTATCCGCAACTCTGAATGCGACACTATCCTTTTCATCCGTAAAGCAGAGCGAATTCATTCTGGAAAATATGATTTGAAAGTGAAAGTTGAGAACCTACAAGATAAAGCATCAATCTTCATTCAGATTGTTGGTAAGCATCAACAGTTTTCCATGAATCAATACAGTGCTTCTAAACTTCATATGCTTTATTATGTACTTTTTAGTATTTTCAGATGTTTCCCCAGAATCCCTCAGTTCCTGATTTATTTATCTAATGCACCCCCAACAAAGTCTATTTCTGGTTTTATTTTATATGGTGAAAATAGCGGCCTTAGTTGACTAAAGTAGCACATTTTCACTAAGCTCCGTGAACCCCTACTTATTTCAGTCAATCAGTATATAAAGGAAAATCCAATAATTTTCAAAGAATTCTACACATGCTTTAAATGAACACAAATTCTCTAAGCTTGGTAAAAAAAAAAAATTAACATTTTGTTTCTATTTGCTTTATGCAAGATGTATTGTTGGCAAAACTCACATCTTTTACTTGGGGTTCCTGTATCACTGGTTCAGAAAAAAAAAAAGGGAAATCAATAATAATTCTGACAGTTTATTCTGATAATCATGAAAATGATATATTAAACCTTTATGCCTTCAATTGCTCACAGAATTGTCCAAGTGATTTTAAGGGAGTTTGGTAGAAAGATTTGTCTTTTTAAAATCTTACTCATTTTTTACAAATATATTCTGCAACCCATATTGAGGAATATCTAACTAATCCCTTCAGTCTTTGCTTCTAATGAAGCTTAACGTCTAATGCACCTACTACTTGGGCAGATACACATACACATTAATGCCTATGTGCACAGAAACTAATAAACCCAGCAATATGTTTTTGAATTGTGTTGGGAAATCTTAAAATCCCAGGGGAAGCCAGAATAACATATAAACTCCAAGTAGCTATTGTCCTACATAGGGATTAAACCCAGAACCCAGAGCAATGTAAGTGTGCTAATTGATTAGAACTTAACTGTACATGTGATATTTACCTGCTGGACTTGAAATTTGTGAAATATGATCAGTTTTATAGACCACATTAGCTGAAACTACCACCAAAAGCTTAAAAAAAAAATCGGTAAGGACAGAAGCACTGAGTTTCTATTCTGATTTGTTTTTGGAGGTTGTGTTTTCTTGGGCAGTTTTACTTATTTTTATTTTAAAGTGTTACTAAACCCAGGACCCTGCATTCACTATATCTGGTTTCCCACAGTACATAGAAGATGGAAGTGCAATTATTTTAGTAAATATAAACTGCTAAATACCTTTTATCATCAGCACCTAAAGCAGTCTTGTGACTTCTATCAGTGTCCAGCAGAGTACATGTTAAAGCTTGTATGAGGAGTTTTAATTTTGCTGAGGGAGGATGCAGAACCCCTTACCTCTGTCTGGACAGTGCTGATTGGCCTTGTGCTGATCACATGCACTCTCCCAAGAAAGAAAAAAACTCTATAGCAATACACACCAAACTGATCATGTGCAGAGTGACTCCACACGATATGTCTTATCAAAGATAAGAGGGGGGCACTGGAAGAAGGAGAGGATCAGAGAAGTCAGGATCAAACAACCTTTTTACACAATGCAGAGGCTAGCCCCTTAGGTTCCACAGTGAGTATGACAAGCATGCTTTACTGCATATACAGACTGATTTTATTGTTGTGGGTTTAGTAACACTTTAATACTTGGTAAGTCTCAACCTTGGAAAAAGCATGTGCCATATGTCTGTTCTGACAGTTGTATTTTACCTACATAACTACATGAGCCTGAGGACTAAAACAAACTGCACAAAATGTCTGAAATATAGCAGAGCACTGTAGCTTTTAGTTAAATTGATTTAGTTGGTTGATAATATACAATATGTTATTGTATTTTATTGACTAATCATATACCTTTTACACATTGCATAACCTTATATGTTTAAGTAGCCATCAATCAATCAATCAATCAATCAACCAAATAATAAAAATGTAGGATGCCGCAATAGAAAAGACCACATAAGTGAAGGAACTGCCCCTCCCTTAACCCCTAGGTCCCCTCGCCTACACACCTACCATTCATTGTTTCACACTTCAACCTTTCCTTCTTTCTCCTTATTATCTTCATTTTACTCTTTTTTTCCTTTACAACCTAAGCCTTACCATGTTATTATGCACTAACAATGCCAAATTAGCAAAATCTAATGCTTTACGGCCAAAATCCAACACCCCAACCTCTACTGTTAATTCACCTCCCCTGTGAACATTTACCAGTTCTTTATTTATCTACTGTATGGTAGACTGATTGTTATTGTGTGGGTTTTAATAATGCTTTTCATTGAGCTGTGTCATCTACCTTTTTTCTTGTATATCCTGTTATATGAAAACCAATATGGAGCATTAACCCCCTTTGTCTTTGTAGTGAAAAAAATGTCAATAAACAAAACTGAACAAGAAAAAACGATATACAGTAATATGGATTATATGATACACACTCCCCTAATCCCTGTTTTTCTATTCATCCAGATAAACCTGGACCTCCACAGTCTGTAGATATTGAAGAAGTGTGGGGGGAGAATGTTGCACTAGAATGGAAGCCACCAGAAGACAATGGCAATGCTGCAATCACAGGATATACCATACAGAAAGCAGACAAGAAGACCATGGTACAATGTTTATTCATGCTTTTCTTTAGACAATTATAGACTTTTTCTTCAAGCATATCTTAACCCCAAAAGAGAAAGTTTAATTATTGTAGCTTATCAGTCTATGAATCTAGTGGCTGCATTCATTTTCTTTTTTTAGTTCTTTACCTTTCTTTATATCAGGTGATCCTGCTAGTAACACACTTCCTTCTCTAGGATATCAACATTTACTCGCTCCTCTGCATCTACGGGGAGCAGGATTATTACCCTAGGCTGCTCTCTTGATTTTGACTACAGAACATCTTCTCTTCTGCTTGTTTCTCTTTTTACATATAAGAACAGGGAAACTTAATAAGTTAATAGGATATTTCAATTCAGTTTACATGAATTTACAAGGACATCATATTTCTGGCAAAATCAACTAATATTTCCCTGTACTTGCTACAAATGTTTTATCCTGTAAAAAGGAAACAAACATATCCACCATATTTAAGAAGTAGTATACTGCTACTGGTTTTTCTTTTTATTGGGTTGAGATTCTCTTTAGCCCTTTCCCTGCCACCATCGTAAGTATTACTGCTTGGTAGGATCAGGATGTAGACAAATTTTGCTACGGTTTAGTTGCATTTTACAGAGCCAGCTTCATGTTCTGTAATATAATTTCTCAGATGGCTGTAAAGCCATACATACAATTATATGTCAGGAATGCTGCAGCACTCCCCCACTCAAACCCCACCCCTACCAGAGGCACTCCTGAAGCCTGTTAGCCAATCACATGACCCAGCTGAGGGAAGACTTTCCCTACTCTGAACTACGTTGGTGTGGTACTGAACCAGCTGTCCTGGGGAACGGAGCTTTACTGGGAAGGGGGGCTGTATTGAGGGGAGGGTGCTGTACTGTAGGAGCGCTGTACTGAAGGGGGGATGGCCGTACTGGGGGGAGGGGAAGAGTTATAATAGAGGAGGGAGGAGCTGTACTGTGGGAAGAGCTGTGATGTTGGAGGGAATCTGTACTAGTGCAATTGGGGAGTCTGTTCTAGGAGGGGTTTTGGTTTGGGAAGGGAGGAAATTTTTGGATGTACAGTACTTTGTCTACTGACCTGTGCATTATGCTCTCCAGACCGCTGACCTCTGAGTTACCCACTCCTAACTTCTGTGTGCATTACACACTCCTTACTTTAGCTTTCTGTGTCTTACACACTCCTGGCCCCTGCACTCTTTGCGACATGCACTCCTGGTCCCTGTACTCTGTGTGTTATATACTGCTTACCCCCTGTACTCTGCGCATTACACACTCCTGACCCCTGCACTCTGTGCATTATACACTCTTGTCCCCTGCAATCTGTGTAATAAGTACCCCGGCCTTTACACTCTGTTCTTTATGCACTCCTGTCCCCTGTACTGTGTGTCTTAAGCACTTCTGGCCCCTACTCTCTGTACAACATGCACTCAAGTTTTAAGCCTCTCTCACTGTGCAGTTTTGCCACATGCACATTTTGTTGTGGTGAGCTGTTCTCACTGCCTTATTTTTCTTCTCAGGGTTGTCAAGGCTGAACCCCAACAGGAAAAAAAATCTACAGCCCTGACCCCCCACACAGATGTTCCGTGCTTACCTGGGACCTGCGAGAAGCCAAGACACCCAAACTTATTTTCAGGACTTCTTTCATTCATTCCATGACCTGCTCTGTGATGAATGACAGAAGCACTAGGCTCTGCAAAAAAGAAGGGTTTGTGAAAAGGAATTCACAGAAAAGCGGCTACATTATGAACAGAATGTGATACTCAGAAAAATTTCCAAAAATTATGCTTGATTACATATAAATATTTGACATATGGGCAATCGCCCTGGTTTACCATCACCTCAGTATGAGACAATACACACAGACCTAAAACCATATAAAATAACACCAAAACCGGTCTGGATAGATGTGCTGCAAAGACAATGACCACTAAAGTCTAAAGTCTTTGTAGCACTGGCACATAGGTTAACACTTCCCAAAGGAGGTGTGCAAAAATTATACCATAGGTATATAGTGTCACATGTAATAAATATAAAGACATGTGTCATGACCATATAGGTTCTATCCCATAGAGGGGAATTCCCAAAAATTATACCAAAGGTATGAAATATCACATGTATACAATGCAGCGAGCACAGTGTGCGTCAAAAGAGAGGCATAACCATAAGCCTATGTTAGGCAGCAAAAGGATATCACAAATGAAATGCAGTACAGTCCCATGCCGGCACATGTGGTTGGGGCCCATTCATCTGTAATATAAGTGACTGATTCTTAGGACTTTTAGATATAAATAACGCCCCAGTTGTTGCCTGGATGGAGAAACAGATGCAAGTAGCAGAACACTGCTTCAAGTGATTTCTTCACCACAGCATGTGGACTACACACCACTTTTTGTTGAAAACAAGATAAGGCCCAGCGGCTCCTCCGCCCGTTGAAATATATGTGGCATGCCTTGTTTCCTATATAAAGCACCATAATGTCCCCATCCTGTAGTAAGACAAACAATATGAGGGAAGTCACTGTAAGAGCTTTCACTCGATAATAGACGTTTATGCCATATAGGTCACAAGGGACCTTTAATCTAATGTCCTGTAACAGTCCACTCACCACCTGTGCAATGGGTAGTAAGAAAGAAAAGGATATCCTTCATAAGTACTGCCCTTCAAAAGGTACTGCTGTATGGAACCAAGGAACCACCGCTAACATCAGCCGACATACCGCAGGTTCCGACCTCTCCATGGCGCCTGTGCCGCCTAAGTATGCCTCATGGCATGTGAAGATGGCTACCTCCTTGTAGGTCAACGTGCGTTCCACCTAGTGCGCATGACCGGAAGTGACGTATCTGACGTATGACGTCAACGCGTTTCGCCGATGGGCGTATCTCACTCAGCTTCGTCAGGACCAATGGGATTCCTGCATTTCAACCTTCTATTTATAGTGGATTAAGACCCACCCACATATGCAAAAAATTACATTGCAGTTATCCCCAATGGAAGAAAAGGGGCTAAATACTTAGCACAACCGCTGGTCATTTTTAAATTAAAAAGACAGGCGACTGGAAATATCAAAGGGAGGAAAGACTTGACAATTACAGCAATGCACACAAAAGTAAAAAACAAAAATTATATTCAATTTGAAATTACCACACTTTCACCAGGAGATGGCAGTGTTAATGAAAGGATCTCCAAACCTATTTATTAGGTCAAAAATACACAAGGACACAGTAAAAATTACCGCAAAACCACCACAAGATGGCGATGTTAATTAACAAATCCCTCTATAGGTTATTTTGCCCAGGGTTCCTAAACTTCAAATTAACCACTTATAAGTGTACATTTATTCTCAAAGGAGAGGAAAATAGTTCAAAGATTAGTCCCTTCTACACTTCTAGACCTATATTTCAATGTGTACCATCAGGTTATTAGATATCTCCCCAAAGAAGGTTTACCTTAATTATTTAATTAACATATTGTCCTTAATAATTCAAATTAACGCATTAACCAGCCATTGACAGGAGTGAGGAATTACCACAGATTGACCAACATATGGCAATATAAGAACATATATCCATACAGATCTATTTATCCAAAAATACTTGGAGATCACATTCCACATTTAACCCCTTTGGGTACAATGTATCAAGTTTATATATCCAATATTTCTCCTTTTTTAGCAGTTCTCTATCAAAATCACCTCTCCTTTGAGGGAAATGCAATGCATAGAAACCTTTCACTTTTGTACCATCCAATTTACCTCCATGATATTTAGCATAGTGTTGGGCAAGATTACTTTCAGGGTCATTAGATCTAATATCTCTGAAATGTTCACCTATTCGTACCTTAAGTTGTCTTTTGGTCTTACCAATATACATCTTTTTACAGGGACAAGTCAAAATGTATAATACTCTCACTGTAGAACAATTTATAAGGCTTTGAATTTTATAATGAGTGCTATTCCTTGAGTCAAAAAAAGAGTCTGTACGATCCACATATTTACAGATTTGGCATTTTCCACATTTAAACATCCCTTTAGTACGTGATTTTAACCATGTTGTCTGTTTTAACGGTTGATAGTCAGAATGAATAAGGAGGTCACCAAGATTTGGTGCTCTTCTTGCTACCATTTGGGGGCGCTCACCTACAATTTTATTCAATTTGGGACATTGAGTTAAAATCTTCCAATGTTTTTCTAATATTTGTTTTACAGCTTGCCATTGGGCTCCAAATTGAGTTATCATTCTAACAGGTTGCTCACTTAATTTGACCTTCTCCTCCTTTTTAGGAGATAATAAATCCTTACGGTCAGTTTGATATGCCCGTCTCCGAGCTTTTCTGATTTGAGAGTGAGAGTATCCCCGTTCCCTAAATCTTCTATAAAGATCCTGTGCTTCCATCCTAAAGTCATGAATATTCAAAACAATTTCTCCGACATCTCAGAAATTGTCCCACTGGAATTCCTGAAATCAGTGAACGTGGGTGATAGCTTCTGGCCTCTAGTAGAGTAATGGCAGCAGTAGGTTTCCTATATGTTTTTGTGAGGAGTCTTCCGTTCTCAAGTCTAATTTCCAAGTCCAGGAAGGAAATACACCTTTCATCAAAAACATACGTGAGTCCAATGTTAAAGGGATTTTGATTTAACTCCTCCATAAAAAGTTTTAATTCCTCTGATGTTACTCTCCATACAAGGAACACATCATCTATATATCTTAACCAAATCTGGACATTAACAAGGAACCTTGTTGATCTGAAGACAACCTGCTCCTCCCAGAAACCTAGATGCAAACATGCATAGGCCGGAGCCCACGGTGCTCCCATACTGGTACCTCTGATCTGTTGATAAAAGGTATTATTAAATTGGAAAAAGTTATGTCGTCGTAACGCAAAGTCCAGCAACTCACTAATAAATTCATTCTGTCCTCCCAAAGTGGGGTATGTTTTATCAAGGAAGTGAAAAGCCGATCTCAAGCCACATTCATGTGGGATCGATGTGTAAAGTGATTCCACATCTATTCCCACTAGAATGGAATTTTCATTGATGATTAAATTTTCAATTTTAGCCAACACATCTTTAGTGTCTCTTACATAGGAGGGAAGATTAGGAACCATGTCTTTAAGAAACAGGTCAATATATTTCCCAGTTTTGTCTAGGGGACCATTGATGGCAGAAACAATGGGTCTACCTGGGGGATTTTCCTGATTTTTATGTATTTTAGGGATAATATAAAAGGTAGGGTGATTAAATTCTTCAGTTCTCAGATATTCATACTCTTTTTTAGTTAGGAGGCCCACCTCTTTTCCCAATGTTAAGATGGAGTTTAGTTTTTTTGCCACCACATGAAACGGATTAGTGGCTACTTTCCTATATGTAGATGAATCTCCCAATAGGCGCTTCACCTCTTTAACATAGTTTTGTTCATTTAAAATAACTACATTGCCCCCCTTATCACTTCTCTTAATTACAATATTCTTGGTCTCTTTTAATTCTTTGAGGGCTTTTCTTTCCTTCTTTGTAAGATTGTCACCAATTGGCATTTTCCATTCAAGATTTTTAAGATCATCAGCAACAAAATCTAGAAATGTCGATATCCTCATGTTGGAACGTATTTTCGGCATTTTAGTCGACCTAATATTTAGATCAACTTTTCTAATCACCTCATTGTGATTATCCAGATCTAATTCATTCTCATCACCATCCTCACTTTCCTCCATGAGAGATATCAACACATCAAGCATCTTGCGGTCCTCCATGGAGGAGTCAGAAGCCATATCCTCCAACATAGTGGGATTACCATGTATCATTCTTAAAAAAAACTTTTCTCAAAAATAAATTAACATCTTTAAATACTTTGAACTCATCCATGGGGGTCACTGGTGAAAAGGACATACCCTTATTAAGTAAAGAGATATGTTCCCTTCTGAGTGGAAAATTAGCCAAATTGATTACCTTCCTGTCATGGGTAATTTCATCTACTGCCTCCTCTGACTTCTTGTTCTGCCCTTGTCCTCCTGATGTTTGCTTTTTGAGGATTCCTCTGTTTTCTTTTTGGATCCTCTTCCCATCTGTAGTTGATTGATTCGGGGAGATTCCCCATCTTGTTGGTCTAAAAAAGATACAGATTTCCCGAGATTCTCAGAGTCGCTTTCACTAGACACAGTTTCCCCCATTGATCTAGAATGTGAACGAAATATTCTTCGTTTAGATCGACTTCTACTTCTTTTTATAGTGAGATCAAAAATCTCTCCTGTTTCCCAGTCTTTAAGGTCACGCCTAAATTTAGTTTGCTTAGTGGTTCTAAGGTTTTTTTGAACTTTTTCAACTTCCTTTTTAAGTTGTTCATTGTATTTTTCAAAGTTCTCCTGATTTTTAAAGGGATCTAATCCTGATACACTCTTACTAATGGCCACATCTAATTCTTCAAGTTGCAATTTTTCTTCCTCAACTATGAGTTTCATACCATTAATCCCATGTTCTATGCATAGCATTTTTCCATTTCTCTAGAAACCTTTCATTATGTAGATGTTCAGCCGGGACTACCTTACTTCTCAAACCGCGTGGGATAATACTCTGTTTGATGTAGGCTTCCAAGAAGCATACATCCCACTTCCGGTTGAGACGTTTAATAACTAACTTTTTATGTTCCCGAAACTTTATTTTAATATCCTCATCTTCGGTAAATTGACCCGAACCTTCAGCTACAAAAGCTTGATGCATTTCTAGCTCAACCTCTTCTCCTGGTATAAATGCCATGAAGACAATCCTTTCCAATCAATGTATTCCAGTCACCTTAAAAAAAAAAAACTCATTAGCCGAGGCGATGGTAAACCAAATTATCAAAGTCAGATAACCTCTTTAAGAAAAGGTCCATAAGAACCCAAAAGACACATTGACTAAAGATAGTTTTTTGGAGGTTACAAAATAAATTACTGTATCACCCAATATATGGCTTCCATTCAGTAGCCCAAAGAGGCATACAAAAAAGAAGGGTTTTTGTGAAAAGGAATTCACAGAAAAGTGGCTACATTATGAACAGAATGTGATACTCAGAAAAATTTCCAAAAATTATGCTTGATTACATATAAATATTTGACATATGGGCAATCGCCCTGGTTTACCATCACCTCAGTATGAGACAATACACACAGACCTAAAACCATATAAAATAACACCAAAACCGGTCTGGATAGATGTGCTGCAAAGACAATGACCACTAAAGTCTAAAGTCTTTGTAGCACTGGCACATAGGTTAACACTTCCCAAAGGAGGTGTGCACAAAAATTATACCATAGGTATATAGTGTCACATGTAATAAATATAAAGACATGTGTCATGACCATATAGGTTCTATCCCATAGAGGGGAATTCCCAAAAATTATACCAAAGGTATGAAATATCACATGTATACAATGCAGCGAGCACAGTGTGCGTCAAAAGAGAGGCATAACCATAAGCCTATGTTAGGCAGCAAAAGGATATCACAAATGAAATGCAGTACAGTCCCATGCCGGCACATGTGGTTGGGGCCCATTCATCTGTAATATAAGTGACTGATTCTTAGGACTTTTAGATATAAATAACGCCCCAGTTGTTGCCTTGCACTAGGCTCTGAGAACTTCTGGGTTCACCTCAGCATCCACCGTACCATGCCTGTACCCCCACCTCCTCCACAACCCTTCACACCTGCAGTGCCCTTCTCTTCCCACCCTCTGCAGTTGCACCTTCTTCACTTATCACCCTCCATGTCTGCACCTCCTCTTCTATCATTTGTACTCCACCTCTCAGCACTGCTTCACTCATTTTCACTCTGTCTGCATCCCACCCATTTCTTTTAACTGTCCCTGTGTGCACACCCACCCAATGTCACCATGCCCCCTCTTCAGCTGTCACCAATGTTTGTAGAACCTCTTTCAAATTCTCACCCATTGCCTGCATATACACACCCCTCCTCTGCACCCTCCTTCATACCTGCACACTGCCCTCCTACCCTCTCTACTATGACAGTATCCCCACCACAACCCTACTCCTAATACCATCTGATCCACATAATCCATACCATCCCTCCACACTCAACACCACACCTGCATCTCTCGTGCTCTCACTGCTGTGCCTGAACATCTCTGACAACTTCATCTGTGCATGCTTCACATTGTCCTCATTGCTCACTACAAGCTACACCGCACTCCACTTAGCAAAGCATTTTCATTACCACCATCTTGCCTTTAGGACCATTTCTCACTTCATGCCTGCTCAAAGCACACCCCTCAACACTTTTTTTGCTCTTTTCCCCTTCCCACTGCCACAGCTGCACATACCCTTTCATGATTCCACTTGTACGATCTTTCTCACCAAGCCTGTGCACAAATTCCTTCCCTCTCACTCCATGCCACCCATTACTCATAAACCTAATCCTCCCCATCTGCTTTCTCCACTGTATCTGCAACCTTTCCCCCACTCCTTCATGCTCAAACCATCCCAACACTGCCCATTTTACACTTCTGCAAGTAGACAAAATGATGGACTGGTGCAAAAAAATGCTTTTGAACTATTGCTATCAAATAGTTTAATCTACACCATTAATAGTTATCCCCATATCCATAGGAATGGTTCACAGTGCTGGAGCACTACCATAGAACCAGTGCCACCATATCAGATCTTGTGATAGGAAACGAGTACTATTTCCGTATTTTCTCTGAAAATATGTGCGGCCTCAGTGAAGCAGCAACTAGGACTGTAAATGCTGCACTTATACAGAAGGAAGGTAAGACAAATAATTTATATTTTGTTTATATTTTCTAGCATGAAAACATTATGCATTGCTGCGTAACAAAAGCAAAAAAAAAAACCTGTCAGTTTGGAAAAAAAGAGTGATAAATGCTTACAAGTCCCTCTGCCAGCAAGTACGGTCTTTGCACTCTTGCAAAGCAAAGGAATCTGAAGCATCCGACACTTCCGGGTGTGCCAGATGCCTGCATTCCTCACAGGACATAGTCATTACACCTGCCAGTAGCTATGTCACTACAGCTCTGCAAGGATACAGTAGTGACATAGCAACTAACTGGCAGAACTCAAACATCTGACACACCTGGAAATGTTGGATCTTGAAGAAACTTTGTCAGGTGTAGCCCTACAGGAAAGCAAAGTTCGGAGTCAGCAACAGCAGAACTGGTAAGTTTTATTAGTCTCCATTTACAAACTTGCTTTGCTTTAATTTTTTGTAGCATTTTAAGTCTTAGAAAATGTTACACAGGCTGCTATGGATATTCTAAGTAATTTTAAGAAAGGACAAGCATTAGCTAATATAAATGTGTTTGATCCTTTCGTTGTGTTTATTTCCTAACATAAGGGTATGATTTTACAGGAAAACCATATAAGCGTCCAGAATATCAAGATTTCGACTTCACAGAATCACCTCAGTTTACTCACCCATTAGTCAATACAGTAGCCATTGCTGGATACAATGCTACATTAAATTGCAGTGTTCGTGGAAATCCAAAGGTAAGTACTTATCATGCAATAATTCTCCAAATGACATATTTTTTTAAATAATCTTGGAAATGTTCAGTAGTGAGGCTTTTGTCAGCAGCAGTGTACATAAACTTTACTTTAAGCAAAACCTGAGATGGGATCTACCCATGTAACTATTATAGCAGATGTATAGACTTTTCAGCTCTCAATGGGGAGGTTTGCTAAAACAAACATCTTCATTTAGCAGCATGAACCTGTGTTCTTTCTGAATACCCAATCACTTGTAGAGGAATTAGCAAAAAAAAATCCTTTGGACGTGATTAGATAATTGAACTAATTGCATCTTTACTATACTAAGTAAAAATGTACTTCTAAAGTAAATCAACCCTTGTGAATTGCCATGATATAACAAGACATTTCTGATGCCCCTCATTTCCATGATTATTTTGCTATATATATAAAAAAAAAAAAGTTTTGTTTGTAGAAGCAAATGGAAAGTCCAAACCCATGATGATCTGTTACTTTTAATATATTTCAAGTCATTTTGATACAAGTTAATACTTTGTACTGTACTACACTGACCAAAAGTGGATTCTTTTAGAAATATATCTTTTCTTAAGGTCAGTGTCCATCTTGGGACATCTCTACTGCACACCTCTGATCTATATCAGACTGTCTGAACATATGTAGGAATGAATTGTGTTTACTAGTGTTCAGAATAATTGCTATAATATCACTGTAAATTTATGAAATAATTTACAGCAAGGAGTAGAGGTTTTAATAAGGAGTTTAAATCTCTTTTAGGGTTAATTCTTAACCCTATCCACTTCTTCACTTGTGCCTAAGAGACAGGCACAAGCAACTGGCCCTTTTACAGTACGCTCAGGCCAATACCATGCTAGTTTTAGGGACTCACCTGCAGTTGCCAGTGCCAGGACAAGGTTATCCAGTGCACAGGATAGAGATGTCACACTTCACCTTCCCTCCGGTTTAGTTTGCATGAGTCAGTGTCTTTTCAAGATAAGAAAATATTTAAAACATATTAAATTCAAAATAGGTTTAATTAAGTTAAACAAAATTCAATCGCAGCTCCCACCCCTCTTGTTCAGCCTTGAGTGTACAGTCAAAAAGCAAATAACTGCGCTAGAATATAAAATTACAAATTTTTAAAACAAAGTGTGAGTGTACAATGTTGGAAAGTACAGCTGTTCATAAGGGGCACACAATAGCAGTGCATTTTTGTGCATTTACGTGCATTGCATCAAGTTAGGTAGCCTATTCGAAATCAATGGGCTGTATCACAACTACAAGCCTGAAAATGTCAGCCCTGCAGTATTTTATAGAATGCACAGAGGACTGAAGAGAACGTGGGAGTAAAATAACCCCTAGCACAGTTAAAATGTGTTCTTCTCACTAAATTTAGTTTAATGTACTTTAGTTTAATATCTAACATTTAAAGGTAAAGTTGATCCAGGGAATATCGGATTGCCTCTTGAGGGATCAGGGAGGAATTTTTTCCCCTGGAGGAGCAAATTGGATCATGCTTTGCAGGTTTTTTTTTGCCTTCCTCTGGATCAGCTGTGGGTGTAGGATTATAACTTTTTTTTTTTTTCATGGTTAAACTGGATGGACTTTTGTCTTTTTTCAGTCAGACTAAATATGTAACTATGTAATATATCAATATGCATACTTTATATAATTAATAGGTCTGTGACAGGGATCAGGCATCTTATAAGATGGGAGAAATCAGAAGGATGTAAGAATTGATATGGAACAGTGATGTGTAGAAGAGATATTCTAAAACGACTCTCAGTCCAACAATATTTTGGAAAGCACTTTTGAAAATGGTAAAACTTACATGAAACCAATAGCTGAGTAAGAAAGTTAATATTTAACAGATCCTCTTTTTTGAAATAGGCTAGATTTAGTACTCAACATTTTTTTAAATATAAAAATTGAACTATTATTAGTAGCTCTTACCTTGTGCCCATTAAGTTAAGGTTCTTGTATTGGTTGTTTCTCATTGGTAATATCCTGCAATCATATTTCTGAAGATAAAACTGGACTACAGATTATTAAGAGCTCAAACAACAGGCCTATTAAATGATGTATGTTATTAATTGCAGCCTAGAATTACTTGGATGAAGAATAAAGTGGTAATTGAAAACGACCCCAGATACAGGATGTTTAGCAACCAAAGTGTATGCACACTAGAGATACGTAAGCCAAGCCCCTATGATACAGGCTCATATACCTGCAGAGCAGTCAACGACCTGGGTGAGGCTGAAGTTGAGTGCAAGCTTGAAGTGAAAGGTAAAGTGATGTAATATTATTTTCAGTTTTTTTTTTAATTAACCACACCAAATAAAAGGATACAGGAATGAAAATAATATACACAACTCGTTCATGGTAGTCTATCAATATTATAAGTAAGCACTTGCTGCAGAGGAACATGGGGCTATACAAAATTCAATATGAAGAAAAAAACCCCTGAAAAACAGTTGAAAAAAACCCACCAAACCCACTCCCTACAGTCCTATAAAATACAGTTAACATAGATGTATGTTGCACATGTATGATATTTTTTGGATGATATTTACTCTTGATGTGTAAGAATCAAATGCACAGGCAAAAGTCTGCAAATGTTAAACATCATTTTTGCATTTGCAATTCTATAACTGTCCTTACCCATGTGTCTGCCTATAGAAACAGTTAGCATGAAAAGTTTACATTAATATTGAAATGAAAAGTAGAGGAAGGCAATGGAACATTTGGTTTCTATCTACTGTATATATAACCTAGGTTCACACTGATGCTGTGCGAGCTGAATCCTTTTTGCAGTGCGATTTCAAGGAGCAGCTCCTGTGCGAGTTAGTACTGGAATCCCCTAGATTCCACAGCATGCATTTTCCATTCAAGTCTACGAAGCTACAAATCGCAACGCACTAAACTCGCACAGAACCCTTTTTCACAGCATATTGGTTTTGCACTGCATATACGTGATTGGCCTTCAGAGAAACGGATGTTCTTTTACTTGTTATGTGATTCCATGTGTTCTGGAAGGCATCAGAAATCGCATCAATGTGAACCAGGGCTAAGTAAGCTGTATAAAAAGCACATTTTTCTATCCACATATTCAAGATAACTAGAAAATTACACTTTGGAGTATTGTTTTAGGTTTTATCTATTTACATAATAGTATTCCTGGGTAAAATCATATAAAAGCTCAATTTTCTTAATTTCCCCTTTTGTTTTCAATGAAAGTAGTACGTTAACTACCAAACTAAAACTAGTCAGAAAGTTTATAGCATTCATTGTACAGTTGTAATGTAACGTAGTGTTGTATATTAAAGTATAATCATTAAACAAGTTAATATAAAAGGACTGTGTCAACTTTTTGCAAAAATAGGGGATACTTTGATTTTCCCAGTCTTCGTGTTTTTATGCTTTAAAATCACTTCTATTCTTCCATGCCTTCACACAGCAACATTATTAACTTATTTGTTTATATTCTAGTAATGTTTCAACGTTTTCAAATATACTATGGAATGGTAAATTGTACATTTAAAAAGTAAAGTACCATTCTAGTCAAACAGATAACAATATCTTTGGACATTTCTGAACTATCCAGGAGGTTATACAGGTGAAGCATGCTGAGACTCCTTTAACTACAGTTATAGCAAAAGAAGAAATAAAGAGTTGAGAAAGTAATTGCTGCAAAGAAGGTGGAGGGAAGACAGACTTATGGGACTGTAGGCAGTATGCTTTGCTCTTTAACCAAATAAAAGACAACTTTTATTTTTTTTTTGGTGATAATTTAGTGGCCATTTTATTTATGGTATAAATATAAGTATCATTTTTATAATAACTCTTTATTTGTACATATTAACTCAATATTATTATTTTAAACATTTTTATGTAAAGTAGCACTACACAACCTCATCTAAGTCACTACAACTCAAGCTGTACATATTAAAAACAACAACTTTTTAACCATACCTATCAGTTGATCCAATCTCACTTCAATTTAATATACTAACTTACTCGTCCTCCTTTGAATAAAGGTGACCTCACCAATAATAATTGGCCGCGACAACAAAAAGAGGGTCGGTGGGAGAGGAAACCACAGAGATGCCTCCCAGGTGTCTGCTCCCCTATGATTGGAACCCTCCTTTTATAGCCCTCTCATCTCTCCTAGTCCTCTTTTGATTGGCCAATTTGCCTTCCAGGTGTGCCCCAGGTGAAGTGGAGGGCTTAAAACTCCCATTTCTAGAAACATCCTCATTATAGTAATAGCTATCAGGGGGCTTGAAACTTTTAACGTCTTTTCT